GTTAGAGAAACAGGATTAGCTGTGGTAAAAACAAAATAGCATTTATGAAAAAATATGGTCGATAGCCAGCGCTACGAAACCCAATCAGAACTGCAAACGAGTTTGAATCCGCCATTTAAGCACGAAGTTCCATGCGAGCTTGACAGGTGCAAGGGAACACTGAGCAAACTACTGATTGATTCTGAGACGGTAGGGAGCGAAGTTAATTCTCACAATAAGCCGATCTTTAATGGAAAAGTTTAGAAAATGAAGAACGCAATCAAAGCTAGTGATCGAAAGGTTTAATGACATGGAGATAAAATTAGGCAGACAAGATGAAAGACCAGAGAGGCAAAAGTAAACCCAGAATAAAAAAGTGACCTACAGTTTTACAGATTATCTTCAAGCTTTTTAGGATGACTCAATGAAAAGAAGCAGAGTTAGACCGTCATTTAACAACGGTGCTCACCATCGCAATGGTTCAGCCCGCATGCGAATTTGCGACAATTTTTTGTTGCGGCTCAGGAATTCAGCGAAGGTAGATCTAGTGGCTTTTGAGACAAAAAGTGCAAAGGATGTTACCTAGAAAATGTCAGTCGAGACACGGCATTGAAGCAGAGTGCTCATAGAACGCTAGCCTCTTGGGAAATATACGAGGAAATCTCAGAACAAATATTCGGTCTTTCTTGAACAGCAGTGGTTTTGCAAAACTTGGAAAAAAGTAACGAGACAACATCGAAAGTTCAAACCCTATTAGCCGTGCCCTCTGTGAGGACTAAATCACAACTTCGTCTCACTGCGTGTTAAGCGAGTCTGAGCAGAGAAGAACATGTTTCAGATGAAAGGATGAAAGATTCAAGGATGATAAAGTACTCCTGAAAGCGGTATTGAGAGACTTAATGGTAGATGCTGAAGCAACTGTAGCTTGTGCAAAACGGTGAGACATTCCTTGAGGTTTAAATTGGAACCAAGGTCAGCGCCAGCGATTATCACATGCGCGAAAATTTTTTAAAGATTGTGAGTTCAAATGGACGTTGGCAATACCTAGCATTAGTGTATTTTCATCAAAGCAAGCCAATGAAAGGTAATATGGAAGAACCTGGAGAGTTAGTGCCTTTGAAGAAGTTTACGATACAAAAACTTCTCATCAAAGAGATGATACTGACAAAAGAAGGGACGGAGTCGCTAAAAAATCGTGTGGACAGTTTAGGAAGAACTCTTACCACTATGTGTGCTCGATTGTCGGAGTGGCATACAACCTATTGATAAACGAAGGTATACGTGATTGTTTCATCGGTTGAATCCTAGGGAAGAAAATCATGGGTTATGAGGTGGAAACTTTAGTGATTTTGAAAAGACCAGTAATATCGGATTATAGGGCAATTGACGAAAACGATGAAATCCACTGAGTGATGGTGGAAGTGAAACGCTGCCGAAAGCGTCAGGATATCGCAGTTGGAGTTTTATCATGTTAACCAATGATGAGTTCCTATGCTATTGTCTGTTGCAGACTTGTTAGTACCCTGAGCGAAGTAATCCAGTATTGATCTGGGACGTTTCAGAGTTGCTCTCAGTGAATCAACCAGATTCATTATCATCCATTATGATCATAAAAATAGGAGTGATCAGGGGACTCGATGGCTGGAGGTGCATATGAAAGAGAACAACAGACAGCAAGCGCCAGGAAACAGTTGGGAAGCCATTCGTTTAATGTTAAGTTTATTTTTCCGTTGTATTGTACTTTCCGTTTAAATTTAACTTAGGAAAAATCTACAACATTTTTGAATCTCTACACTGCGTGTCTCGATTTGTTTACAAAGTTTGTTGAAGCAATAAATAGTACAATTTCAGTAAATGCACTAAAGAAACAATCATGCAGGATTAATAAACTTTTTAGTAGCATTATAATTATATCTTTACATGCTAATCATTAAAGCAAAAACTTCCATAAAACAAATGTTTTTTTTCTCCATTTCAAAAAAAATTTTAAAACCTTAAATCCGAAATTTTTTTTGTTTTTGATTGTTTTAAAGAAACGAAGTTCATATCTTTTAGCAAACCTAATTGGCCGTTTTTGAACTCTTCGTAAGATACTGTTCATAGAATTTAGGACACGCCAAAAACTGCCAATTAAGTTTCAAGAAAGTACATAAATTTTTTGCAATTAATTTATTCTATCTAGAGTTTTATTGAACCCCAAAAAATTCCATGACACAATATGCTCGAATTTTCAGTTTGTAGAAGACAAAATTTACAGACATTTCTTCAATTAAACCAACAGTTATCAATGGTTGTCCAAAGATTCTTATTGAATTGCCTATGAAAACATTTTTCGCTTTTCTGGTTAACATTCCGACATTTATTCAACGAATAGCGAAACATCCCTCATTGTGCCATCGGTAAATTTCTCTTCAAATGATGAGCTCAAAATGATTTTAAAAAGAACCTTTATAATCAAGTCAAATTTTTTTCAACCATTCATTTTTCTGTCTTTCGTCAATTGAAAGCATGTTAGAGCAAAAACTCTTCAGACCACAATAACAAAAAAAAAATGAAACAGCCTAGATTTCAAGCGTAATTGATAGTAATTAAGCATTGAAAGTAATGAAAATACTTAAGCATAGTACATCAGGCATATCATAAGGTTCTTTCAATTTTTTGCTGAAAAGAGCATTGAATTTTTTCTCAACTTAAAAACCCTGAAAGTATAGCGAAAAATTAATTTACTGGATTACAACTAAGCTTTCGGGCATGAATAAAATCTTATCGTCCTATTACAAGCTCACTCGCTTGCTTTATTTCAAACTACAAAATCTCTTGTCAACAAGTTCCACTTGAATGACTTTAATATGATTTATCACTCAGAATCCGTTTCGATGATTATTTGTGGAACCTTACTTGTTATGAGAAAAAACCTGAAAAAAAATACATCCGATGAACAACTGCAAACCCATATTATCACTGGTAGCAACACCAAGGTTGATAGTTGCAGTTCAAGTAGCACAATGGTTTTGCCCGGATAAAATCTACAATTCCAAGGAAAAATTTTAAAAAAGCTTCCTAAGCTTAACATTTTTTCTCATTGCTAACTTTGTATTTTATTAGCCTTAATTTCTCGATATTGGTTGTTTGAATTTTGCAATCGGTACCATTGTTCGGATGATTTACTTTGACGCAAATAGCTTCGCACCAACTGCGATGCAACACAAACATAAAAGAGCAAAAATACAACCAAAATGAAAAATGTTGAAAAAACTAGGTGATTTATAATGATCGTTTATCATAATGGAAAATAACTATGGGACCAGCTGAAGCTGGAGGTACGTGTTTGACGGTTTTTTGATTGTTTTATGCTGATGCGAGATGCAATTGGTAACTCCAAAAATTGGATTTTCCCCGAAATGTTAGTAATTTCTCTACTGAGCTACGTGGCAATAAAACTTTGGAGATACAGGAGTTTTTCCTAGGGCATAATATTTTAATACAAACAAATTCTCTCAGCTGTTCAATTCGATTGAACGTTTATCTCAGATTTGATAGGGTAGTTTTAAGAGTAATTAAAAATTTTCTCTAAAAAATGTCAAAAGTTCAAAAACTTGATTTTCCGAAATCCATAATTTTGTTTCTTCCAAAATCAGAGTGTGGCAGCTGAACCACAGAAAATTTCCAAAACTGTGTGTCTTGATTGAACCTTAAACTTTGGCTGTGGAATTTTCGAGAAAAGTAAAAAAAAAGTTTCCAAAAATTCAATCTTGACTCTGAAATTTTATATTTCTTAGTCCTTTTCAACGTTTTTAACACTTTTTTCTTCTGAAAAACCAAATTTTGATTTATCCCAGGGCCATGACTTTTTGAGTAAAAACTAGAGCTTATCCGCTTACGCAGGGCAGGTTTCCACAATCCGTTGAAACCATATCTCATGTTTGCAAAAATATTTTCCGACACAGAAAAAAAATATTTGTCATATGTTCCCCCACACTCTTTTCGAAGGCTGTAAACAGTGGGGTGAAGCAAAAACTGACTGGGGATTTTGCAGGCAGACAGGGTAGGACACCGTTTTTCTTTACTGTACCACTAAATTTCTGTAAGAAAAATTGTTTACGGGAAAAAAAGTCCAGTTCCCGTTTACAAGGCAACTGTTCTCACAAGATGTGCGTTAACAGATTTCGAACTTGCGTCTGACCAAACCAAACAATAAGCGAAGATCAATAGGAGAGTATTCAAATCGTTCATGGTTCAGTTAATTTTTCAAACTAGTGCAACCAGCCAAACTGAGTTGAAGTTCTCGACACAGAAATTTAGTTTGTAATGCTTTATTTGAAAACACAAGATGTCACTTGTTCCGACGTTAAAGTGCATATTAGGAACTAATTTAAAAAATAAACCTCAATTTTTTTTTGTAACTGTGGTCTGAACATGGTATTTCTTGCACAGCAACCCGCTTTTTTTCAACTTATTGCAATAATTAAACCTATTTGATTCAGTGATAGTTTTACATCCAAAATGGTTATAAATTTCATCAGCTATTTAATGATTCTTCTAATCGATTTCTTTTTAGTGCTATCATTACAAGGCCAAGCTGTCCATTTTGGGAAATGTAAGCGGATTCCGCAACAAGAACGATGCTTTCATTCTTCCTATATTATTGTTTGGGGAATTGTCCCTGAACCCAGGAACATACAGACACAAAAAAATGTGCGCCTCTCCAGTTCACACTTTGACCAAATAAAATTGTTTGTTAGATGAAAATTGTTCGTATCAAACCTCGCGCATTCAATTTTTCAAATAGTAAAATTTTATCATACCCACGTTAATAAAGCTGCAGTAGCTCTAACTTCTGGATTTAGTCCGTTTTTTAATCCGAAAAGAACTTTTGTCAATGTTGATCACAACGCAAGGAAAACAATTTTTTCAAAATAAACCAGCCATGCTTGTTTGAGGAATTAAGCCCAGAAGGTTAGTATGGTCGAAAGAAGTCTATATATAGTTCAGAATGTTGAACAATTTCTAATGTTGAACAATTTCTTCAGCAACATTTAATTGCAAACTTCTGTTCTCCAGAGATAACAAATCTAACAATCAAATCAAAAGTATACTGCAGTTTCCCACAGGTTTCGTATCAAATCAGCAGCACATGCGCCATTCAATGGCCGAATTGTCCATTGCAGTAAGAGTAGCTTAATCGACATCTTCCATTCTAGAGGCATCATCGTCATCACCTTCCAGAGGTGGTGGGTTCTCGCCGGCAGCAGCCTCTCCTTCTGTCTCATTGCCCATAGGTTCATCGTCCTCGTCGATTCCTAGACCCAATTTAATCATGCGATGAATTCTGTTAGAGTGCACTTGCGGATCTTCGAGCGTAAATCCAGAGGAGAGAAGTGATGTTTCGAAAAGTAGCATGACCAAATCTTTTACAGCACGGTCATTTTTGTCGGCTTCAGCTTTTTCGCGCAAAGTGTTCACAATGGAATGATCGGGGTTGATTTCCAGGTGTTTTTTAGCAGCCATGTATCCAAGCGTGCTCGTATCTCTCAATGCTTGAGCTTTCATGATTCTCTCCATATTGGCTGACCATCCATATTGGCTTGTCACAATACAGCAAGGTGACGACACTAATCGGTTGGACACAACGACCTAAATAACATCCACATATGATTTTAATGATTAATCATTAGCTATTAAAATATCAGTTTCAAATATAAGATTTTTTATACTAAGCAGTTAACGCATTGATGACTTATCAAGGCTGACTACATGTTAGATTTGATTTACTCGCTATTAAGGGGAACATAAGAAATGAACCCATAGGAAATCATTAGAACAATAATTTCTGTACAGCGAGATAGGAATTACACTAATGGTCACAGGACCTTCGTATTAGCTTAGTGCCCAATAGTTTGAATCAAAATTAGAGCTAGTCTGTAATATATCTTTTAGGCTGGGCACCTATAATGGAAGGATCATTTTTTCACTTCTAACGCGGTTAAAAAATGTACAACGAATTTCTTTCGAAAGTTAATTTACTATCGAGGTAAGAAAGTAGTTACTCTTTCGCCATTAGGAGGAAGCTATTTAAAAATAGTTCCGCAAAAGATGACGACTAATAGGTAATCAAATCGTTTATATTCAGCATCCATTCATAGGTTGACACTTCTGAGCTTGGATGCAGAATGGTTACTTTTAGCTGAATCAGGAAGAACTAGTTACAGACTAACTAATTGGCAATACAGCTTAAACCTTTAACATTTTTTTTTCATGTGATTGAAAGAATGAGTTTCAATTTATTGGCAAAACAGCATTTCTGTATAGCGAGATTGTAATTACAATGGTCAGAGCCTTCGTATTAGCTTAGAGTGCTCACTAATTTGAACAAATTAGAGCTAGTCTGTAATATATCTTTTAGGCTGGGCACCTATAATGGAAGGATCATTTTTTCACTTCTAACGCGGTTAAAAAATGTACAACGAATTTCTTTCGAATGTTAATTTACTATCGAGGTAAGAAAGTAGTTACTCTTTCGCCATTAGGAGGAAGCTATTTAAAAATAGTTCCGCAAAAGATGACGACTAATAGGTAATCAATTTGTTTATATTCAGCATCCATTCATAGGTTGACACTTCTGAGCTTGGATACAGAACGGTTACTTTTAGCTGAATCAGGAAGAACTAGTTACATTCTAACTAATTGGCAAAACAGCTAATACCTTTAACATTTTTTTTGAATTTGAAGCTATATAACGCTTCCCTTCTGGGAATTGATATTGCCCAACTCGGTTACAGTAACTTTGTTCAACTGTGATTGGAAAGAATTTGGATCAATTGAGCAATCATAAGCCAGATTTTCCAAAGAAGGTGAACGCCAAAATTTACAATATCAGAGTATTAAAATTACATTCAAGGAAAAAAGCATCAGTAAAACTGAGGCGAATAAAGGGACTAAAAGTAAAAAAAAAGCTATTGCGTACAATATTAAGATGCTGCTGAGAACAGTTTCTGCTATTCAGATACACAGATACAAGGCTAGAGCACCCACCAACCCTGGTAACTTACTTCCTCGATGAGGCAATGGTCGCCCAAAAAAACTGTAAATAACCTTTTTTCTAAATGAATTTCAATTTTTTAGTCGGTCAATTTATTGCGTGCTACGATCACATCAACCATCTACTTGCATTTGTTGACGTCTTTTTGTAGCGTTTTACCGTCTTTGCTTGTGGGGGAGATAAACCCTGATGACCAATCGAGTCCCTTCATTTTGGCTTTTTTGTCATTATGTGAATTTATAATAATTAGGGGGGAGATTGCTCAATCGATCCAAAATTAACTAATTGGCAAATCAGCTAAAACTTCCATCGCAAAAATATGTGAATTTATAATAATTAGGGGGGAGATTGCTCAATCGATCCAAAATTAACTAATTGGCAAATCAGCTAAAACTTCCATCGCAAAAATTTTGAACTGACCTTTTCCACTTTTTTGTCCAATATATCCTTCATAACTTTGCACAAGGGCTCAAACTTGGCTTTAGCTTCTTCGAACTTCTTTTTCTCGTCTTCATCCTCGGGAAGCTCAAGTCCTTCTTTAGTTACAGACACCAGCTTCTTTCCGTCAAACTCTTTCAGCTGTTGCACACAGTATTCATCGATGGGCTCTGTCATGTAGACAACTTCGAAACCCCTCTTTGTGACCCTTTCGACAAATGCACTGTTCATGACATGCTCTTTGCTTTCGCCTGTGATGTAGTAGATATCCTTCTGGTTTTCCTTCATTCTGGAAACGTAGTCCTTGATAGAACAGGGTTCCTCTTTTGAGTTTGAAGTGTAGTATCTTAAGAACTCTCCCAGCTTCTTCCGGTTAGTCGAGTCTTCGTGAATTCCGAGCTAAAATGCAGGCAAACAACTGTGTATTGTACAGAAAACTGATTGACATTGTTTGCACATATATAATAATATGAAAAAAATACATGCGGATCAATGCTCAATTTGGATTATTAATCAACAATTGCAGCTTGGTGATATCATCGTTAAATAAGTACTGGTTTGTCTTAACCGCGATTATTCCAATAGCTCACCTTAACGTTTTTGCCAAATTGTTCGTAAAACTTTTTGAAGTTTTCCTTGTCTTCAGAAATTTCTTCGAACAACTCCATGCATCTTTTCACCAAACTTTTTCGGATTACTTTGAGAATTTTGTTTTGCTGAAGGTTTTCTCGACTGATGTTCAATGGGAGATCTTCGGAATCGACAATTCCTTTCACGAAATTAAGGTATTCTGGAATCAACTCCTCGCAATTCTCCATGATGAAGACTCTTCGTACATAGAGCTTTATGTTGTTCTTCTGTTTCTTATTTTCGAAAAGATCGAAAGGCGCACGCTTGGGAACAAAAAGGAGAGCCCTGAACTCAAGCTGACCTTCCAATGAGAAGTGTTTGACGGCCATATGGTCTTCCCAGTCATTTGTGAGGGACTTGTAAAATTCTGCGTACTCTTCATTCTTGATATCTTCAGGATTTCTGGTCCACAATGGCTTCTGTTTATTCAACGTTTCTTCATCGATGTATTTTTCTTTAATTGTCTTCTTTTTCTTTTTATCCCCATCAGCTTTTTCTTCGTCTTCGTCGACGTCTTCAATTTTAGGCTCATCATCCTCTTTCTTCTCTTCTTCGTCTTCCTTTTTCTCTTCCTCGGCTTCATCGTCTTCTATTTCTTTCTCTCGCTCTTTTTCGACGAACAATTTAATTGGGTAGCCAATGAACTGCGAGTGTTTCTTGACTATTTCTTTCAGACGTTTGTCCTCAAGGTACTCGGCTTGGTCTTCCTTGATATATAGGACAATTCTGGTTCCTCTTCCGAGGGATTCAGAGTTAGTATCAGTTGTGACCGTGAAAGATCCTCCAGCAGAAGACTCCCAAAGATATTGCTCATCGTCATTATGCTTTGAGTACACCTCAACTTTGTCGGCAATTAAGTATGCCGAGTAGAAACCAACGCCAAATTGACCGATCATAGAGATATCGGCTCCAGCTTGCAAAGCTTCCATAAAAGCTTTAGTTCCTGATTTAGCAATGGTTCCGAGGTTGTTGATCAAGTCAGCTTTTGTCATTCCAGTTCCACTATCGGTGATGGTCAAAGTCTTATTCTCCTTGTCCGGGATTATGCAGATCTCCAATTCCTTCTTGGATTCAAGAGCTGATGGATCTGTCAGACTCGCCCATCTAAAAGATACACACAATCAATGTTTTTCTAGCTTTAGCTCAAGGTTATAGGGCAATATATTGTGATTTAAATTCCAGAAATCCATTATTTGCGGAAGATATTCTTTTTCGAAGTGCTGTCTGTGGTAAACAATCGCGGATTTACACTCGCAGTAAGCCGGCAAATTCTATATTGGCTTCATTGTCTCGAATCTGAATGTTTAATGTGTATGTCTGCCAACTGACAAAAATGAACTGAACTGTATGATTATCCGGTCTAAATGGGGCTAGGTCTTTAACCCGATCGAACTTTTTCTACAATAAAAAATAACTTCGAAGAAAAATTTTCTTCTAAGTGGATTAAATTTGTTTATCGAGTCTGGTAAAAGGCCCATGTAGCTTATCTGCTTAAAAAAAATCGCTCCCCCGGCCTAAATACTGCTACGTAACTTTAATTTAGGCACTTGCTCAGATGAATGACACCAAGATTAAGTTGAAATTGTTAGATTCCTGTTTAAGATGGCAAAATTACAGCCTTCAAATACAAAGCAAGAACTATTTTTTTCAGCAGTTTTTGGATAGACGAGTGAATCACCCTGATCTTGACTGAACTGCATTACATGAGAATTCTACAAGTTATCCTAACCGAGGTGAAGGTAAGTCCAAGTAGATTCAGGAATTACCAGTTTGTGAATAATAGACATACCTGATTCTGTCCAAAGCATCCGATGCATTAGAAATCAACTCTCGGAGAAAAATTTCTTTGTTGGAATAGAAGGTGTTGATGATCAGGCTCATCAACTGAGCAATTTCTGCCTGGAAGGCGAAAGTTTCAGTTTCCAAGTTATCAGACATACTGAAACATAAAGACAGTTTTAAATTCAACTGTTGTGGACCCTAAAAAATCCGTCCAAATTTGTCCACTGGATTTTTTATTTTAAGCCAATAAATACAGCAGCTGACCACATAAAACACGTATTCAGTATTATTCTTGGATATGATAGAGCAGATCAGAAAGACTTGCCGTTCTAGGCCCGGAATAAGCTTTCCGCGAGTCTTTTAAATTTTGATAATTTCATGTGGTAAGGTCATTCTCTATCGATTTACCTATTTTGCATTATGACGAAACTTAACTTAGAAGCACCTCACACGGTCTTTCACGCTCAATTTAATCGATAAAATGTTTATTTTCAAAAAATAAGGCAAAATTTGTTCTTTGTCGTTCCGCACAACAATGCACCACTTGATAAAAGCATAAAATATACAAGAAAAAACCTTCAATGATTTAATTCTTAATATTCCTCGACATCAATTAGGGGCTCAAAAATTATGAAAAAGCCCTTACCTTGTTAACAAAGCTCATGAAAAGGAAAAAATCGACGTTTTCAAAATAATTATACTTCACAACTTAGTGACAAAATGCTTGGCTTGAAATCCCGTCGGCTTGATGTTCGGCACCCTTCAACACGCACAAAATCAAGTACTTACGCTTTCAATCCGACAGACACGCTGTATTTTCAAGAAGAGTGTAAATGATTCCTCGAGAAAATCGAATTTCGATGCGCAGAACAAACGAACAGCAAATAGCACAGAGAAGCAATACTGGAGTGCTGGCGTGAGTAATTGTGCGTTATTATAGTTTGTTTCTAGAATATTCTAGAGTCGAGAATGTTCTCGAATGCGAATATTCTGGAAACTGGGGAAAAACAAAATCTCAATTTTTTTCTAAAATTAACTGCTCGGCAAAATGTTACCAATCAATTTTCATTTTTAAAATAAAAATTGAATAAAACTCATTCTCTGTTAAAATTCAAATCAAGTTTTGATGGACTAGTTTTTCAGACCAGGTCTCTTAATCTAAGAATAATGTTTCGTTCAATAAAATAAAAAAAGAGAAAACAAAAAGTACTAGGTTAAAAAATTGTTATCCGTTGGAGTCGAATTCTGCAAAACTGTATGTTTCCTTTTGTCAACTAAAGTTTCGTTTGACGATGTACTTTAACCTCGCATGATAAGTTTAAAAAACTGAGCTTGAAAAATGCATGAGAACTTTGAAGTCCTATACAACGAAAACAAGGAGATAATGAGCATTGACCACCACATGTATCTACGCCAACGCATATTCCCAAAATGTCGAAATATTTAAACTACCGAGCTATTTGTGCTGAAAATGGCAAAACGAAATTCGACACAAAAATGATACCAACTCACAGAAACCAACCACTGATAACAACCACTGATACCAACTCAACACAATTTTGGGGCTATTTTCCACTTTCCCACCACATTTGAAACGTTCTTTTTTTCTCTATTGTTTACGTGAGATTATGGCTGAACGATAAAACGATATAAGGTATGGAGAACAGTTCTGTTCACAATAATGAATTTAATTATGCAAAATTTCGTTATCTTATGACTACGGTAAAATAGTTTCTCAAAACTGAAATTCAAATGTGGGAAGGGAGAGTGAAAAAGAGCCCATCTTGCAGACATTTATTGTGCCGACATTCGAAAAAAAAGGAATTATTTAACTTTTTAACCTAATTTGGCCATTTTTAAATTTATATTGATGATTTAGAACACGTATGGTGCCACATACCCTTTTTGTTTTGTTTTTTGGCATTTGCAAGATCTTTTTCTTCAGCTGTTGCATTCAGGCTTTAATAATTGTGTATCTAAGTTCTCTTATGTGTTGTGTCCAAATTGATTTCAAACAAATTCAGGGGAGCACTTGGCAATCTTTATGGGTTCGTTAGACGTCCGCTCTTTGTTACTGATGTATTTAGAGTTTTTTCATCTGATTAAAAAATATGTAAGATTGAGAAATAATTATTTTCTTTTGAGCGGTACATTAATGCATTTCAAATTCACTTGAGGCAATCCATTTGGTCTTCACATAAGCGTGTGGGGAATCGAAAGATAAAACATCAAATGAACTTTTTTCAATTGCTTCGTCTTTTTCAACCGAAAAAATACTATTTTTGTGGGCCGGAAAAAGCAGTTGAAACATTCAATTCTTCGCCCTGATATACGAGCAGGGTCCTACTATGATAGAGTGGTCCCTTGAAAATTACCAGGTCCCTTGAGAATAAGACACCTAGAGCTCTCAAACCGTTTAATAATTATGATTGAGCCCTTCAGAAAGATATCGCAGTATATTTTCATAAATTTCATGTTTTTTTATCTCATAAAACCTCCCCCTCACCATTTTAAACCGTAAAATAAAGTAAAGCGAGCAAATCTCAATATATAAACAATAGTGATTACAATTTTCAATCTGAAAAGTTTTTGGCTGAACATATTTTGCAAGATTTTTGAAATGAATAATTTATAAACCAACTAGTTTTCAAAATTATAACATGCAAAATGCATGCGGGAACTGTCTAACATAGTTGCTTTTTCGAGGGGCTACTCTATCATAGTAGTACCACGAGCAGTCTTGTTTGTTTATTTATTTTCTTATTCATGACATATGAATTTAATTGTAATTTGCGCAAACATTGTGTGTGGGTGGGGGGGGGGGGGGGGGGGGCAATTCAATGAACTGCTTGTTTTTCATTTTTTTTGTTTTTTTTATGTTATGCAAAATTTTCTGACGTTTTATGTGTAACGGGCGATTGTAATAGGTTAAAAGCTGCGCAAATTGCAAAAATGGGACAAATAAATTAATGAAAAAATTGCAGAAGAATCATTTTGATGTGCGAAATTTCTTGGTATCATACGTAACTTTCGTGTCAATTAGTCTGATTAGCGGAAAAATTTCGGAGAAACAAGGAAAGGAATGAGCGAACAAATTTTAAAAAATTTAGTTTGGCATCGAATCATGACTGCGGAAAAAGGCTTCAATATGATACCACTCTTGATCTTATGAGCTTTCTTAAAGTCAACCGAGCTGCGTTGAAAAAGAAACAACCTACGCTATAGTTGCTTGCTATTCCTGAAAGAGTCGGAACAGTAAGCCTGAAAGAACTACCAGATCAATAACGAAGACCATAGTTGGGTATTTTCTTTTTCGGAACGAATTTGAAATTTAAAAAGTTAATTTATGATTGAATTCATTTTATATGGTACGAGACCAAAAAGCTGGATTTAATTGTGTTGTTATTTGAAATAAATCACACTTCAGATAGCATGCGACCCAAGTATTTCTCACCTATAGAAGTTGCAGCTCACAGCACTCTTAAGGATTTATGGGTGTCATACCTTGGGAAGGTATACGATCTCACTCCTTTAGCCGAATCTCATCAAGGTTTTTATTATGTTATGCCATTGCATTATGCAATTCTTTCATCAAGACAATTAATGCGGATTTTCTTCTTATTTATTGCAAAAAACAGCCTTAAACATGCAATTTTGCTAGGTGGCAATTTTTAATGTTATTTATGCCTCAGAAGAATTAAGTTTTTTTAGAGTGCCGAAATCAAAAAGAACATCCGTGAATTTTGTTATGGTGTTTTAGTTTGTTAATATTTTTGGAAAAATAAAGTTGATTTTTTTAAAAACTATTGATAATAATTTTTGCCGGAGTAATGTCGCTTAAGATTTCGTTTAATGTATTTAATTGTACCTAAATTGTAAATTGCAAATTACTGACAAAATTTTGATTATATCATAAAATAAGTGGCTAAATAAAACGTGGCGCTTTCCCACTATCGCACCACAGTAAATTATAGCTGGCCCGTAATAAAAATTCGCATTATTCGCAGTTTTTTTTTGAACTCGAATAAGAGTTTGATATGTTTTTGAATGTCGTTTTAGGAGATGTCCTGCTAAAACCAATTGTCTTGGCTGGAGGAACTGACATTTCACATTGGTTCAATAAGAAAACAAGAGAGGTGAGCCAAAATTTTAAAATCAGATGTATTCTGGAATTTGTTCTGACTTGTGGCATACATCCTACAGCTCTTCCGGCTAGAAATGCATTTTTTGAATCAGCTACGTTGAGTCTTAAAGATGCTCTTTCAAAACATTCTTCAACGAGAAATTATTGAAGAAGCGTCCTTTTTTACTGGGAAAGTTTTTTGTGTCATTTCTTGTATAATTGAGTTCTCATGTACACTAACGTACTTAATGCGTTCTCGCTTATTCTGAACTTACTGATACATTTGTAAAATTCGCCCAGAAATTACACAGCGACGGAGAATAGAAAAAGTCGTTATTGACGACTGGCTGACGTCAAATACCTTAACTCAGTTCGTTTTTCTTCGTCTCGACCTAGCCAGTTTTTTTTTCTGTTTAAGGGCTAACCATTGTGTTACAGTTTTGAGGCCATCAGCCAAACGAGTTTTACTTGGCTTTCGTTAACACGCGGAAATAACTACATTGCTGGGTCTTAGATCCCCAGACAACTTGATTATTACTAAAAACAGGACTAAAAACCATAATTATATCTATTTTTAGTGAAATTTATACATTGAATCCATTAGAGAGAGATTGACCATTTCCTCGCCCACAATCCTGTGAAATAATCAAGTGAAATTGAGGTAAATTAAATCCGTTCAGGGCATTACAGCAGCTAAAAGGTCGCAAATGTTTGTAAAAAGTCTCTAGGCTCCGGGCCTCCAATTCTGATCTCTCCTTGAAATAAAGTCGTTATTTCTTATTTTCCTCTGTTCGGGCGGATTGGATCTGTCCCTAATATTCCACCTAACCTTCCGGCTCCATTCGATCTTGCAACTAAGCTGCTTATTGAGTACGCTTGTCGTGTCCGGAGGCTTCGGTTGTGTCTCTCGTTTCAGATATAACAATGTCTTCTTTTTCTCTTGTCTCCCACTACCGTTTTCCGTGTGTTAATCGGCTGTTCTGTGTGTGACACGTTTCGCAATAAAAATGACCGTCTTTTAGTATTTCTCATAATTATTCTGGTTTCAATCGAAAATTTAAAAATTTTAGATTCCGGAACAACTCAACCTTCCTTTTCGTAAGGAATTCGTTAAAAAGGCGTTTGAAGTCTCATTCTCTTGGCAACAGAAAGTTCCACTGTGGCATCCGGGGAATGGCTTAATTGAATCAAACGGAAGTCGTTTCATTAATTCTATAAGAGCTACTGGTTGCTCAGCAAATTGTTCATAATGTTTCTGCCACTGATAGTTTTTTTTGAAAACTGAAAAAAAGTATTGATACATTTTGAAAGTGTTTGTTTTTTTCAATGGCAAGTGAGAGCTTGAAAAATTTTAGGGAATAAAATAACCATTGGTTTAATAATTTTGAGAAATAAAGGAAAATCAGATTCGTAGACATCTTTTCTGTTAGACATTTCTATAGCGGTTAATTGGGCATTTAGTCTGCTTAGCAACAATGTTCATATCACTTTTTCATGAAGAGTTTTTGAAATATTTTTTTTCAGATTCCTGATTAGGATTATAGACAGGTTTTGATAGAATACCTTGTTCGATCTTTCTCCGAGTAAGCTGAAATTGTACGTAATGCAAGTATTGATATATACATAGTTTTTTATTAGCCAACGGCCCAGCTCCCATCATTCAATCTTGGTTTTTTTTTGTGGTGGATGTCATCCATTTCGCCGCAGCCGGTCCCACCGTGAGGAGGTGGATAACATTAGGACCCCTCCAACCGTCTATCCCCTTCAGTCACGGCTGCTAATTTTTAGATAGCCTCAAAGGGGTTCAAAGATCAAGATTGTTTTTTTAATCTTTTTTTTCCCGGAAAGCCACAAAGTGATTTTCTGACAACATTTTTTTAACGAAATGATAGTAACGAATCTGAATTATCTTTTTACATTAAATTTGATGTCGACAAGAAAATCGAACGGGAAACCATCATAAATTATTTCTGCTATAATTTCAAGAAGTAAGCAAGTCGTTCTAGGCAGATTTGAAAGCCTTTTATAATTAATTAGAAGGGAAAGAGCATTAAAAGTTTAATGAAACAATGTAACATTAGCTTTTAAATCTTAGGAAATAAAGGATCGTCATCTTTTTTGTTGGAGTTTACCATACAAGTAAAATTGGGTAATTGAGTCTGAGTAGCAACAATTTTCAGATCACATTTTCGGAACACTGAATTGTTTTCGAAATAAATTTTCAGATTCTTAAGCTGGATTTAAAAAAAGTTTTGTTATTATACCTGTTTCGATCTTTCCGCGATTTTACTGAAATTGTACGTAATTCAAGTTTTCATATATAAATAGTCTCAATAAGCGTCAAAGATTAGGATCTTTTTATTTTTTCTTTTGAGAAAAGCCATGAAGTGACTTTCCGACGAAAGTTTTTGCTAAAATGACAGAATAGAATCTTAAAAAACATTCTACTGAAAATTTGATATGTGGATAAACCAATAACAAGTTGAAAGAGAAACCAACAAAACGTATTTCTGCTATAATTTAGAGAAGAGTGCATGTATCTCTGGACAGATTTGAAAGCCTTTATTAATTATTTGAAAGAGAAGAGCAGTAAAAAGTAAATCAAATAATATAACAATTGCTTCGAATTGTTTAAGAAATAAAGTAAGATCAGATGTAAAATCAAGCAAGATCAGTTCGAAATATTTGCGAAGTGTTCACGAAGCGATAGAAAAAATCTGAAATAAATTTACTGAAAATATGATTTGTGGATAAACCAAAAAAAAAAAAATCGAAAAAGAAACCAACAAAAAGCATTTCTGCTATAATTTTCAGAAGTATGCAAGTTTTTCTAGGCAGATTGTAAAGCCGTTGTTATTTAAATAAAAGAAAACACACGGAATTTTGCTTGAATTTTTCACTGTTTTTTAATTAGTTGATACGGAAAAAATTGGAGCCAAAAGGTAATAGAAGCTTTGAAAACGAGTTAATGGAAGCCTATCTAATATAAAACAAATGAATTTGAAACAATATAAATTGTATATCCTCGAACTAAGCAAAATTTTTCTCCAAAAAGCAAAAACTTCAAATCAGCTTTCTCGACACCGAGGAAACATTTTAAAACATAATAATGCGGTGAAATATCTTCTACCTCGTCTGATGTTGGATTGTAGTGGCTGAATTTGCATGGAAAAACGGCACATAAAGCCGTGTATAATTCTCAGTTTCAGTTGTCGGAATAATAACTTCCTGAAGTTTTAGTACGTGCCAAGATGTATTTTTGTGTGTTTTCGTTTGCAGATCAAGACATACGTAGACCCGGTGACTAGCTGCGAACAATACTATTGTCCCAAAGGCAGATTCATCCACGTACCTCCTCCCTACCCCACAGACGACTGGGCCAATGACTTCGGCAGGCCCTGGTGGAAGGACGACAAGTACTGCGTAGGGGTGTTGTCCCAGAAGACCAGGCGAATCAAGGTCATCAATACGCTGACCTCGCAGGATGTCATTATTGAGGTCAGAATCATGAAAAAAATCGCGCTGCGATACAACAAGTTTTGTTTTCGTTCCGACCATTTGTTTTTGGAGTTTTTAGCGATATTTTGGCAATCAAAAACTTCTAAAAAAAAAGGTTTTGTAGAAAAATTTGAAATTTTTTTAATGTTTTTTTTTCTTACGATTTGCCTATTCGATTTTCTAGTCATTTTGGTACAGAAATTTTACAATTGGCCTAATTTACTATGAATGATTGTAGAATATGCTTAAGATCTATTTTTTTGTTCAGATCTTTTTATTACACCACGCAGAAAAACTGCTGTTTAACCTTTCTGTTTGTATTTTCCTAATTGACCAGCGTATTAATACAACAAATTGGCTGATGAAAAGAAGTTTGCCCAAAATTAAAGATGGCGCAAATGCTAAACCGTGGCCTCTAGGTTAAAAGTAAAATAATGTTTGTTGAATAGTTTTTGAAGTTGTTTCTGTTTTATCAACTCAACTGATTCAAATTTTGTTCTTTATTTCTTCAGGTTTGTTCTGAGGAAACGATGTTGGAGATCTTGCGTCGGTATCTACGTGAAAACTGTCACGCTGGATCCTACACATGGAAATATGCCGGACGAAACCTGGAAATGGATAAAACACTGGAGGAAAACGGGGTGAAGGACGACGATGAAGACTTCTACATCTGCCGAATGGACGAAGACCAGTTTGTTCAAGCCATACATCTCTACTTCAACGATGACCTCACAGAGAGTTGAATAAAGTCTGAAAAAAAATCTCGATGAAAAAAAAAACATTCGAAGTCTCTTTCTAATCCAAATCTATAATCATATCAATTGTCAGTTGCTCTAAAATACTAATTTTTTGAATAAGAACTTTTTGTTTTGCGCGTTATTTAGATGTACATCTCCTTAGAAATATAATTGTTTAGTCAAAATTACAGTCCGAATGTTTCGTAGAATTTCGCCTGCTTAGTAGTAGTAATGTTTTGTTAGCGAAGCATGAAAGAAGGATTGAACTTTATGCAAATATTAAATTTCCCTCCTCCAATGAAGTCAAGGGTTACTAGCTTATGTGCAACTAGCGCAGATTTGATGGACCACAGTTATCGTTACAAAAACTTAGAATGGGTGTATTTGAGTTATTAAACCGTTATATTTGAAATTTTACTCAATTGTTATGGTTCTTATTACAGACTTTGAACACGTGCGTTGAAGCGTTGAACACGTGAATGGCTTATAATTTTAGCCTTCAAAGAACAAAACTGCTATAAATATACCACAAAACTTTTGGCGATGTTGCTAATTGCTAGCTATTAAGTTATTATATCGGGTCTCGAAAAAATATTTATCAATTGAATATCAATTTTTTCATAATTAAATTGTTCGTCAATTGTATAGAAAACTATCAGACTATACATATACCACAAACGTTCTGTTATCTTATGAACTTAATGTTACATCTACCAGAATGATTCAACTGGCAGAATTTTCCAACCGACTGCCCGTTAACGTCGATAGAAAAGTTTGCTGGCCAAAATGATGAACTAAAAACAAAATAGTTATTGGTCTTTTATTAGCGAACACGCTATGCAAAGTACTAAATGAAAAAAAAACATTTGTGCCTGGCAACGTCATATTAGGACCAAGTTGCTTGCCTCAATTAAATTTGGGTTGATTTAATTTGCCGATTAGTGTTAAAAATTGGCAGTTTTTCACACCCATATCTTAAAAAAAGTAGTAATTATCAAATTACTAATTATCAAATGATAGAAAAATTCGCGTAAAAAATGACTGGTTAAAAATTCAAAATTTGCCACGAAAAGATTGTTCTCATGCAAACAATTTTCCAATCACGAGGCTGCGATTAGCAAATAAAACTGATGTAGCAAAAACGGCTGCAATTTCTTATATCAGGGCAAAGCACTGCATAATCCGACTGCCCTTTAACAGGCATCAAATGAATTTTGGTAAAAAAGCTTCAGTAACTATAGATATATACTGTTTTAGAAAATAAGTGCCTAAACTGGCAATTTTTAAAAAATGCTCGAAATACAATAAATTTTTAAACAATAAATATTCTGCGTGAAAATTTTTTGTATTTTTGCAAAGTTTTTTTTTTAAACTATATTTTCGATTGTCAAAATTGATCTAAAAAAATACACCAATCAGAAAAATTTTATAAGTTTCAGCAACTGGATATACGAGGAGAGGTGGAAATTTTGCAAACAGTGAAGAAAGTTCAAAAAACAATGATTTATGATGAAAAAATCAGTTAAAACATTTTTTAATATCAAGAAAAAAAATCCAATTTTTGTTTCAATTTTGTCTTATTTCTTTTTAGTGTTTGATTAGTACCACTAGAATACAGAATTGACTGGCCGTTACAAGAAAAACTCAAAAACGGCGCAATTTTTTTCGATTTTTTTCTACGCAATAGAGAAAAGCTAATCGAGGACTTAACGATTTTTCAAACTAATCAATTAAATTCTGTTCTGCTTCGCATACACGGTTTGAACTTTTTCGAAAACGCATTTTAAAAAATTGATGGTTAAAAAATAAACTGTAGTGTACATATATTTGCTGATGAAGACCCAATTGTGAGGCAGCCATATAGTTTTCTTGGTTATCGTCCAAAGATTTTATTTTTGGATAAACTTTTCAAATGATCAACAAATTCTTCTTTATGTAAAACAAGTTTATTGTAGCGTCATTGCTAAGATAAGGTCGTTCTAATCTGTTTTAAAATCAAAATTTGTAGATTTGATTTTAAATTTCAATGATATTTTTAATTTTTTTATCCAATTTTGTTTAGTGTTCTGACCACAATGTGAGAAAAAACGTTACGTATTTTTTTGGTGTAACAAAAACTTTTCTGTTATGATTTGACTCATACAAAGAAAAATCATAGTTTACTGTAAAATTTGTTTGAAAATTCTTGACTATTTGAAATTTTAAATGGTGCAAGGATAGCAGGTAACACAGAACATTCCGACCAAAGTCCTAGAAAATAAGATTATTTTTTTAAATTAGTGCCGCTTTTTCGGCGTGGTGTGATAAAAAAGATCTGAGCGAAAAACTAGAGACTAGGAATATTTGACAATGATAGTAAAATAAGCGAAATGAATAACAATTTTTCTAGAAAATAGACTAGAAAAAAAATTTATTTTAAATTTTTGATTTTAAAAAGGCGCTAAACTACTCACAAAAATCTCACGTTAATCGTGTAAAATTAGGTTTTAAATTTTTAAACTAATCTTTTATATGCTTTTAAGCCATTAAATTAAGCTATTGTAATCCTGCTGCTCGCATTATTCGCTCGAATTAAAAAAAAAATTTCAAGTCGGTTTTTCTCGGGACTGGACAATTTTTCAAAAAACTTTCAGTAGTTCAAATTACAACTGTTAGATAATTAGTGAGATAAATTACTCAACTGTCTCCGATGATTTTTGTGCTAGCTGATTTTGCGTGGAAAACAAAAACAAGGAAAAAATTAAAACACACCCGAAAACAAATTTTTTTACTATGTAAAAAAAATAAACTTTCAAAAACTCATTACTGAAGATAAAAATAGCATTCTTCTCGACCCCCCTTCAGAACAGTCTACGCAACTTCTTCAAAACCTAAAAATTATTCATAATTTTTATGAAAATGAAAACAAAAACCGCGGCTGGTTTTGTGTTGCAGTTATGCACTAACGCCCAGCCCAGCCTACTTATAAATTGCCCCTAACTTAATCGTCTTATTTTAAATTTTTTTCAAAAATTACATTTATGCTGGCATTTTGAACACTTTTTAATCCATTGGGTATATAACTGGGAACTCGTGCCTAAAAAACCGATTTCTTTTGTCAAAATTTTCAAAAAATTACTCAAAAACGACTTTTTTTGTTTCAAAAGCCTCCTTCCGAGTCGAATAAAATGACAAAATATTTTCTCTTTAGTGTTTAAGAAAGCTCGCTTAATTTGACCAAAAAAAATTGACAAATTTTCCAAAAAAATTTACCCTTCCTTGAGAAGATTCGCCACCTGGGTTTTTTGGTTTCCAGGAAAATTGATTTGCCACAAGTAGAATGATTAATTTATAATAATAGTATTTTTTCGGTCATACTCCCCTAAATTGATATATTTGGCGGTTCAAAAATCAAATTCAATTGAAAGCGCGAAAATTAGGAACCCTAATGACAAATTTGCCATCTATTTTGAATTGACAAAATTATTCATTTAGGGGGTATAATCGAAAAGACCTTAATACAGTTATCTCTTTTTTTATTTCAATAGGTTTCGGAGTTCTATTTTTTTACGCAATCATATGAAAGATGGGGAAGTTTTATAAATTAATTTCTCAGTAATCACAGTGATTCGATTTCGTAACTGGGAGCATTTTTGAGACCAAGTATTTTACGCCAACTCACATATCTTGAATAAACACCAGATTGTATTCAGATCATTTTTGTTCCGACTTTCGATACGAAAATAACGGAATATTTGTGCTCGGGGTGGGTTTTTTTCTTCAGACAATTTTTGACTTTTTAACTAGCCGTTTTTGTCAAATTGTTTTTGTATCATTCAAAAGATATTGTTGTCTTGCGCTTAAATTTTAAAAGATATTTCTCCTGTGATTATTTTTCGTAAAGTTATGGGGGTTTAAAGATTAGCATTTTGGCCAATTTGGGACTATTAACGCGCGATATATTTCGTGCTATTAACGCGTAAGCGGAGATTTAATCCGTCTTAGAAATCGTTCCAAATTGGTTAAAGGAAGCTTATTTACCCTAATTGATTTGTTAATAGAAGCGAAATTTATCACTTTGCACTTCATATGGCGTGTGGGGGGAAGATTTTCACAAAAACTCTCAAATTTTTTTACAAATTTTTTTTTCATTATATTTTTTTCTTTTTTTTACGTTTAATTTTTTGATGTTATTACTGCTTCATAGACGACGTTAAAAGGCAGTCGGAACATTCAATTCAGGGCTTCGCCAGTCAAATGTGCAAAATATCGAGGAACTTTTCAAATGCGAGAATATAATTCACAATTTTGTTTTTATGGCATTGTTTTTGTGGCACTGACAAATGAACCTTAAATATATGAGAGCTCTGAAACCAGTAGCGAGTTCACTCTCCCTCCTAGCGTTTAGTAGAGGGAACATAAATACTTAGACTTGATTTGAGAGCAGTTCCAAAAAGATAATTTTTAAATATTTTGGTTCCGTTTCGCCAAATGTTCTGGAATCGTAATAGCTTTGTTGTTCTTTGGTTCGAATGGTCAATTATAATTTTGTCGTAGGTCTATTTAGTTATTTTAGCTCTTGAACCTTTGAAACTGTTTCCTGAAACCAAATTAACCTGCAGCCGTAATAAATTCTATTAAATAGAGCTATAAACAGATTCAATCTTTTGACAGGCAAACTCAAATATTTTTATTTGATTCATTTATTACCCCAAATAACAATGTTTTTCAATTTACTTAGTAGTGGTCTCCAAAAGTGTTTACGGGGGTACAAATCAAAACAGAGTGTTCAGATCAGCAGACTGGCTTGCTACGCAGAAAACGTAGAAACCACGCTCACGCTCAAGTAATACAAAATATCTCTTTAAATAAATACCCCCTCCTCCCACCCCAAAAGGGAGGGGGCAGTTAACAAGTTCCGACGCAAAACATTTGCGATAAAATGAGATCACAAAATTTTTTTTCTTTCATGCAAATTGAAGAAGCCAGAAGAGAAAAATTGGGCTTGCTTAACAGTCTAAAAATTTCGAGTAAACTGCCAGTTTTACCCTAACGAAAACAGCAATACTGATTTTATCCGACCGGAACTAGATAAACACTCTTTACTTCAAAACTATAGCAATAAATAAGAGCATGACATCGCGCAGACCGCAAATTGACACGTTTTCCCCAGGAGAGTCAATTCTTCAGAGTTGTTTTTTTCTTCAGACAAATTTCGACTTTTTACCTGGCCATTTTTGACGGAATTTCTTTTATATTGTTTTATATCATTGTTGTCTTGCGCTTAAATTTTAAAGGATATTTCTCCTGTGATCATTTTTCGTAAAGTTATGGGGGTTTAAAGATTTCCATTTTGGCCAATTTGGGACAATAAACGCGCGATATATTTCGCGCTATTAACGCGTTAGCGTAGATTTAATCCGTCTTAAAAATTGTTCCAAATTGCTTGAAAGAAACTTATTTGCCATAATTAATTTGTTACAATGAGCGAAATCTGTTCTTTTGTACTTTATATGGCGTGTGGGGGGATGATTTCATATAAAAATTTCAAATTTAAGAATTTTTTTTTTCATTTTATTTTTTTTACATTTAATTTTTTTTATGTTCCTACTGCTCCATAAACCTTAAAAGGCAGTGGGAACATTCAGGGCTTCGCCCTGATACGAGCAGTCTTGTTTGCTTTCAAGTTTGAGGAGACAATACGTTTATGAAACTTTGATCATATTATATGCTTATTTAGTATGGAATATCAATCAAAGGTTATTCGATACGTTTTATCATAATCATGACGATCGGATTATATACACAAACTTCATTTCTTTGAATTCACTTTTTTAAATCATAGTTTGGCCTTTTAATTTTTTTGTTATCATAACAGTAATTTGACTTATAAATACCAACTAATTCTTAGATAAACTATTACTAACATCGATCTCAATAAAAATGTTCATGACAAATATCTTGCCTTGCACTGATCCGCAATAAAAATACCGGCATTGCTTTGCTGTTTCAGCAATCAGTTTCACTTGATTGTAGACGTATTTTAGATGGAGTACACTGTAAAGTGTAGTGTTCCAGCTGCATTGACCGTTACAATCCGACCTGGGTCATCCAAAAAATCATCTACGTTTGGCCTTTGTTTTTTGTTTTTAAACAATTGAATGGTTTTGCGTCCAAAGCCAATTTGATAGAGTTGTCTTTTTTATGGTGATAAGTACTGGGGCAATCTAATGGTTTTTAGATTCCCCTTGTGGGTTAAACAGTTTCTTACATTTCATGTTGAGTTTTTGTTTTCAACCTTTCGACTGCTCGCACAAAGTAATCAACAAACTGTGCTTAAAGATTTAATTGTTCCGCTGAGATTTCGTCTTCTTTGAAAGCTCCATTTTTGGTTTCACAGTTGCATAGTTCTGAAAAGAAAGTGGACTCCCTGTATCGAATTTCATATTAATTATCTGGTTATCAATTCTGACCGACGCCGTAAATGATTTGGTTGTTTTATGGTTAGGGTCCCTGCGGATATCAAATTTTTGAACATTTGAGTCATGGTTCCATTTTTATGAACCTCATTTTCATTTTGCAGTCTGTTCTCCATGCATCGTTCGATCTGTGTCATCGATGTAGTTTTTGGCTCTTTTGACATCATTTCAAATTCATCTTAATAATCAAATTCTTGTGTCAGTTACATTCTTCATCCGAACTTTCCCTATCCTCAGTCAGTTTGTTATCTCGTTAGAACGGTCACAATTTTGCAAAATTATTTGGCTTATTCAATTTTTTCATGATTTTCTCATAGCAGAACATTTCTTTAAATGTCCCTCTGAAAGAATTGGCCGCATCTGTTGCACGGTTTTTTTTCTCAGCTGGGTCTACTCGTGTTTCTACGATCCTTCTAAACTGGTTTCTATTCGGTTTTTTCGTGTACAGATATCATTAACCCTCTGCTGTTACAGATTCTTGTTTTCATCTTTTTGGGCGATCCCGCGGAATGACGTGTACTGGCAGTAACCGCATTCGATTTTTGAAATGCCAGAGTAGTCTGTTTATTCGACTCAATTTTCCAAGCTTTTTCGAGCACTACATCTGGCGATAGTGTTTCATACCTCAACGTATCCTGCAGCACTGCATTTCTCAATTTTGAAATGATTATACCTCTCAACAACTCGTCTTCAAGAGTACCGAGCTTAGACCCTACTGTTTGTGCAGTCAATGCAGCGTGGAACGATTCCAATGTATAACCTGCATCCTGTGATCTGTTGAAAAACTTGTATTGTAACGTTTTTCATATTTTGAAAAGATTTTTGCGCCAATACGGCTATTTCTTCGAATCCTAGCGTTGATATCTCCACGTGTAGGCTTTTTGTATAAATCGTTTCTTCCTCTCTTTTTCTAGTGCTAAGTGTAACATCAATTTTTATTTTTTTGGACCTCGTTATGATAGTGTAACTTCTATACTAATCGTTTTTGGACATCCACCCACCTCAAAACCGCTAGCGAGAGTGGGAAGGCAGACACCTCGTTTTTGCTTTTTACAGGGATCGTGCTCCTGGTATTATGCTTATATCTGTCGACCAACTTACTTCATGCGGGTGGGAAAAAAATCTTAATAAGAAAATAAGAAGAGGCACTTTTCGTGTGGAGAAAAGATAGAATAATGAGCGTTTTCCTGAGGGAGAAAGTATTTGCCCCTTTAAGACTGCTGCTCCATTCTACTCAAAAGGAATTTTCCTATTACAAGTGAGACTATATCTGCTGTCTTTTTGGCCCAAAACAGTTCAAAATTCATGTCTTTTCGGTTATATCCCCTAAACGATAAAAAATTAAAGTTGAACTCTTAATCACAAATCTGGATCAATATAGTCAAAAAATTATTTAGGTTATTTTGGTGGAGACTCAGGTTTATCTAATGTAGTGGCAAATTCCACACAAACTGTGTTCCCGAGTCCAAAATGTGTTCCCGAATGTTGCTTGTTTTGCAATTTTGCAACTTTCGGGGTTGAATTCAATGCTCTCAATCCCGGATCGGTATCAGGATTAACAAGAATTGCGTTTGCTTCATTTTCATACTTTTAATTTTTGAGCTGCAATTCCAAAAACCCCCATTTTATGCTTGATCGAGAAGACCCCAAGTTTCTTTGAGCACGAAGACGAAATAACTTTAATTTTTTTTTAAATTTGCGGAGTATGGCGCAATTATACAGGTTTTTATTAGAACATATTAATTTTTTCCACAAACCACATGTAACAAATCTCCGTTTAACTTCATTGTGAAACTCCTTTTTCCATTTTTACTATTCATTTCGGCTCTTCAGATCAAGCTATTGTTTCTCAACAACGTCTAAACTCTGCCCCTTTTTTCATCTTGCTTTCACTTTTAGACGTGCAGCTTTACTTCGATATGTGAAATTTATTTGCAAAACATTTACCAACATAATCCATTCCTTAATTTCATTACAAAAACCTGGTAAAGTAGTTAAATTCATTTTTCCATTTGCAATCTAGGTATGAGTCTGGTTATGCTGAAATGTATTCTTCTTTTTCTACAATTATTTTGGCATCTTGGTTCGCCAACTTATTCGACCTTCAAAGAAGAATCACCTGCAAATGATGTTGATGATGTTGAGATTGCAAGTTCCAAAAACGGATCTTCGTCCAAGGTGATGAAGTCTGGCTATGTGTGTGAAGTGGCCAACAGGAACTGGTGTGAGATATTGGAGCTAAAATGGGTCCAGGAGAAAACAAGGAAGGCACAGTAAGATTACAAACAAGTTCTATTCCTATTATCTGAAAGTTTTCCAAGGGGAAAATTCAATAAAAAATTAATATGTACTCAGCGCCCTTTTTCAGATAGTTATCGAAATCATAAGCCAATGACTTAAGCTCAATTTTTTTTCAAGCATAACCATTTTTTCAAAAAACTATGGGTTTCAAAGTTATCAATTTACCAAATATGGCAAAAAATGAGCAAAACTTCTAAACTTCTATAAGCGAATCTATTCAAAATGCTAATGGTTTTCAAGAAATAAAATAAACTAACTCATAAACCATTCCAAATTAAACTGAGACAAGTTAATTCTCAAATCAGTTTGACATATTTCAAATTGAACTAGGGACCTAGTATTGCTCTAGTTGACGCCTAATTTATTGTGAAACTAATTGTGGAGGTTCAATTTTCGAAAAAAAATCCGATAAATTAAAAATCAATCGAAACATTTATGGCCTCGGCATGATACGAAAAGTCGTTGTTGTTCCGACTCTCTGGGAAAATGACGGATAATGTACAGACTTAGACAATTGAAACTCAATATCTTTCAAGAAAATTTTGCAAAAAGAGACAACTCGTGTAAAACATGTAAGAAAATAATTTTTTCGTTTATTCTAAATGTTAAACAAAAAAACGGTAAAACATCAAAGCGTTTTTGGCGCCAATTTTTTGATATAAAGAGGTTTTACTAATTAAAATTTGATGAAAAAGCTATCAGCTGCAAAATTAGATTATCGTTTTGATAGTTTTTACGAGTCTTGCATCTTTTGTTCCAATTTGTTTTAATGTGAATCAAAAACTTAGAAGAGAGCGCAAAACGCAAAGGAACAACCATACAGAGTCTCTTAAAGTGTGCTTCTTTCGTTTTGCGTAAGCTACTTGGCGCAAAATACAAGAATTAAGACTGCCATTTCACAAGACAAAAACTTAAGAAAGAAGGTACATTCATATATTGCGCTGGCTCCCATTCCTGAATGCGACTTGAAGTTGGCACTAGAAATTCTCTACGCAACAACAGCTGAGAATGAGCACCTTTGGTCATATCTGAACAATTGCAACAGAGGACATTCTTAAATTTTTAAAAACTATCAAAACAACGATCTAACTTTGTAGCTGGAAGCTCTTTCATTTGACTTTTATCTGTAAACCCTTTCCTAGCAAGAATTTTTTGATGCCGCAAAGGCTTTGATGTTCTATCGTTTCTTTTGTTCCACAATCAGATTAAATGGGAATTTTTTGTTCTAACGAGTTTTATACGACTTGTCTTTTTTCGCAGGTTGTCTTTTTAAAAGTATTTCTGTGAGTTGTCTTTTGTACTGCGAATTGGCGCGGTACCATGATATTATTGCCCTGGGATCAAATAAGAAAAAAAATCGTTTCTAAGGTGAACTTTTCTAAGGTTATGGACAATATGTTGGCGAATCCACTTTCCAAATTTTGGTTGCCAACTGTTCCAAAAGTTCCAGCATTCGGTATTATTTTGCGAGATTGTTTTTTGAACAACTGTAAAAAAAATTGTTAATGCGCGTTCGGTGCCAATATACACACAATTTGAGTGGTGGGAAAACAGCAACTTCTACTAGTCTTCGAGTTATGCAGCAGCCGGATATTGATTATACAAAAAAGTATATCCGTAAGTTATAAAACATATATCCGGAAGCCTGAATAACGATCATCAAAATGACCTGTTTCTGAAGCATATCTTAAATTTGACAATTTTTCATATATTCTCTAACAAATTGCATATAATTTCTGTAGATCGCCATAGGATATTAATTTTCAGGTTTCAGGTGTCAAGCGGATATTCGTAGCAAAATTGAAAGACGACATTTTGTACCAAGCGTCAAATTGTAGCACACGACAATTTACAGCAACGATCCTTTCTAATTGAGGAGATTACAGAATGTCGCAAAAAGAACCAAATAATTTCCAAGAGATTTTGTGGTTTTGAAAAACAGCGGTTAAATTGTGAGCTTAAATTTAACCTTAACTATAAGAATATATGCTGGTCAAAATTATATAAGAGGCTTTTTCTGTTGTTTGTTTTTAAAGAATTCTGGCAAATCAGTTACTTTTTGACAATAAAACACCTTAATCCTTTGACACAAGAAAGCATAAAACTTCAGCATATATCAGAAAAAAAACATTGAACCTTAGCCGCCACAACAAAACAAACAAGTAAATGCGATTGGCGATTTGAGAAAACGCCGTGTAAAGCTACTGTTGCCACCGTTGGAGTTGAAATGGTCAGGATATCCGGAGAGCTTGGTCACAAACATGTTCCATTCGAGTAAAAAGTTCAAAAATGAATTAGGTTTTTTGACAAATTTCACACTGGGCTATTTTTAACTTTGATATTTAAATTTTATCTAAATTCCAATTAGTTTTTAAGCGTTGATTTAGTATGACCAGTAGACCAAAAACCGTGCTTTTCTGTGGAAAAAATTGATCTAACCCAGCGAAACTGAAAAAATCCCTAACAGGTTGTTTTTATTAAAGACTGAGGGTAGTTGAGGGGTGTCAGATTTTTTTTTGCTCTTTTATAAAACTATGAAGTTTTAGGCTCAAACGTGTTATCAAACAGAAAAAAAAAATCAAAAATTATATCTCCTTAAATCAATTAAGTGAAAACCGCTAATGATTTTATGAGGATGACTTTAACGAGGAGGGATCAGAAATTTTTGGACCTGTTATAAAAGTATGAACTTAGTATATATTTTTTAAGGAATATTAATATTTGAATTTAATGCATTACTTTGAATCAAGCAAAAGCTTGATTAACTAATTACTTAACTCCTCGCTACCTAAAATGTAAGTTCAATAATTAGTTCATAATCCATTACCTAAAATGTATTAGTTAACTTTTTTAGGGAGGACTTTTTTGAGTTCCTGAAACTGACTCTTGAGAGCCGTGCATACGACAGGCAAATGCGCCCCAGTTACGCCACTGATAAAGGTCAGACCTAATCAACGGCTTCTCTTGGTTATATTAACTAATATTTTAAAACTAATACAAAAGGTTTAAAGGCTTGAAAATTATAATTTGTTCGTTCAATGGGGTCAAAACGGTCAGTCATTTTTGTTTGTTCAGCGTTGGCAGGGAGTGACAAAGTGAAGATCAGTGTGTACGTGATGTCTCTCGGGCCAGCCTCAGAGTCAGAAATGGTAAAAACGACAAAATTAACTCTTTTTTAGCATTGTCGTAGAGAGAAACGGCCATGTTTTTCTCTGACTTCAGTGCTTAAGTTTCTCCTAAAAGCTAAAGAATCCTAAAAACACAATTCAATTAACCCTCTAAAAGCCACTAAAGACGCCTCTAAGACTTCGCTAAATACTCCTTAATTGAGCACAGTTTTACCCATTGATTGCTAACCCTTGATTTTAAGATTCATAAAAATCCTTCAGCAATTGCAGTTCTTACCGAATCAAGCGTTATTCTTCACAAACCTCTCCACCGCTTCAAAAATGAGCTGAAAAGGTGCTGTTGTTTCGTACTATTACTAACTATTTTTTCCAGAGTCTGATCCAGGATCTGTATATGACGCAGATATGGACTGACCCAAGACTCCGCTACCCGACTGCCTCATGGACTGACCCAAGACTCCGCTACCCGACTGCCTCCCAAACTGACCTCGACCTGGACTCTAACTTCTCATCTTTTTCCTCTCCCCCGTTGGACATCTCAGTGTCTGTTCACACAGACATGGTGCGCAAACTCTGGACTCCGGAACTTTACTTCAGGCAAACTGAATTTATTTATTTTCAATTTATTTCTTTTTTGATTCTCATAATGGCTGATTGTCACTGAAACTGACCAAGGGTATTTCCAATTTTCAAAAAAAAAAATTAAATAATTCTAGTGCGACATCTCGGGCCTTGTTTCCTGAGCGGTGCGCAAAATTTGGTTGTGCGTGCTGCCGTTTAGCCATGCGACAAACTGGACTAAAATCCTTAAAATACATATCTGGAGTTCTCTGATTTGAAATTATTGTCGGTTCTTTTAATCATATCATTTTAGAAATGGACTGCACACCGAAATAGCTCGTACTCACGAGGACAAAATTGGAACTATTATGAAAATAAAGTCTTCGGGAGAAATTACTCTTGTGGAAAGGCAAGTACTCTTGATTCAAATCTCAGTTTGATTTTACTTTCGTTAAAGAAAGATAATTTTGGATAAAAGGATGAAGCACTAATATATCACGTGATTCATCAAATTGGTATTGTCTTTATCATACATTCGCTACCCATTTTGTTCAAAGGGTTCAATTGCAATATTTGCCCCAAAAAATTAAGAAAAAAACAACATTTTTGTAATTTAACAGGTTTTTCCTGAAGACAGCTTGTCCCATGCAGTTGTCTTACTTTCCCTTCGACTACCAAATATGCGAACTGGAAATTTGTCCACGTGAGTTTGCTTACTAAACATTTTTATGGAGTGTAGTACGTACATAGTTTCAAAACAGTGAAGTTTGCACTTTGAATTCAGTTTTAAACCTCATACTTTCAATAAACAGCTCTGAGGTCAAGCAAAAGAGAAAATTTGTTTATTACACTGGCCAAGATATAACTTGATTTATCAATTTGCTTTTAATATTGCTACTTTTTCTACAGAACAATTCAAGAGAAAAACAATTCCACCGAGACATGGGTTATTATTTTAAAAAATGAAACAAGAACTGCCATTTGCTGTGCAATTAGCACAAAAAGCTCCAACCACATTTATTTTTGAAACAGTCGTTTCGTTTTTCAATTTGGGATAGTTTTTTTGAGCGTGGTTTTCTACAACTTCAAAATACCTTTGCAAAATTTTAAACAAAAAAGGAAACTAAAAACATTTAAAAAAAAAAAATCTAAAGTTTTTTCAATTTTTTTCAGATTCATGCTTCTGAGCTCATGCAATTTTAAGTATTGGGGAAACGCTAAACTAAAATTTGAAAACTAGTTTTTTCATATTAATTTTTTAATTTTTTAAAATCCCAATTAAATTAAGTTATTTTTGCTCGCTCTACTCGCTTAAACTAGAAAAAAATGCAAACAATTCAAACCGATTTTTCTCGTTACTAAAATATTTCTTTTTTAAAATTCTTTTTTAGATATCGACCGACTGACGACTGAAAAAAGTGTGATAAATTAAATTATTTGACCTTTTTGATTAGTTATTTATGGTACTGGTTTTGCGTGGAAAAAATGCTGAGACACAACCGAATGTTGAATTTCTCCCCATTTTCAGAATAGCTAGTTGAGCCACAATAGTCAAATTTCTAGAACTTTGTTAGCAAAACACCTATCGACAATTTCCAACGTTTTTGAAACTTATCGGTCAACATTTCTCTAAGAAGGCTGTTAATAATTTTGAGATTTTGAGATTTTTTATTCGCAGATGGCTCTAAAAAGCTCCAAAAAATAAGTTTTTTTGGAGTTCAAAAAAATTTTCATGGCTGCTTTTTCTATAATAAGCCTGCTCACTTGCTAGCAGGCTTATTGCCGAAGAAAGCCATCTTCTATAATAAGCCTAAAGAAGCAGCCATGAAATTTTTTTGAACTCATGGCTGCTTCTTCCATGAGTTCAAAAGAAAGAAGCAGCCATGAGTTCATAACTCATGGCTGCTTTTTTAGGCTGCAGATTCTTTTCTTTTCATTGCAATAAAATTAACTTTTGAGCTTTTCTGCGTCTTTTCGGAGTCAAAACCTTCAAAAATTCAGAAAACTGCAAAAAAAATTGAAAAAGTTTTTGATTTTTTTTAATTCTTTTTTTGTTTTTCTTATCATTTTTCTTCAAGAAATGGCGTCTAAATTGCGTATTTTACTATCACTGTCAAATATGCCTAAGCTCTAGTTTTTCGCTTAGATCCTTTTATCTCACCACGCAGAAAAAACGACACTAATTTGTATTTTTTTGTAAACTTTTTTTGTGTTTTTTTGAGTCTATGGTCGGAACACTCTGTGCTACTTGCTCAGTAACCGGTTATTCTAGTTTTCTATAGAATTGTGGAATAAGCATTTTCCATGGTAGGGAATTATAAGACAAGCGTTTTTTGTCAACCAGGATAGTTATTGTTCTGTTTTTTTTTGATCAGTTGGATTTGACGACGCTGAGATCTCTCTGAAGTGGAATGCGGTAGCCATAACACACCAGGAGATCATCATGTCCCAATTCGACTTCCTCAGCCACAACACCTCTGTCAGGGAATTCAAAATCAAGTCAAGTCAGTGCATTTAGAATTTATCGTTGAAATAGTATCTTAATTGCCAATGTACAAGCTTTTTCTTAGATAGCGGTCGTAAATCAAGGCCAGAGTTTTTTGTTAAAAAAGGTTTCATTTCTTTTTTGATTTCGTTGAGGTTGACCATTCTTTAACATTACCAATTCGAACAACCCTTTTTGGCCAAACTTGTGCGCCACTGGCGATTTTTCAAAAAAAATGGCAGATAAACTTTTCAGGAGTTTTTAGAATTTTTTCACCGGCGCGGTCTCCTCATCAAATTTGGAGTATAATGACTCCAGAGGTGGTTTTAAGGAAAATTTAGAGCTTCGGCAGACGAAAAATGGAGATCAAATTCACTCCTGACTTTAATACTGTTCTTGTAATCAGTTTTTTGATAAAAGCTTTTAACATGGTAGTTTTTCAGTGGACGAGGCGCAGACGGAATTAGTGTTGCAGTATCTGCTGAAGAGACAGACCACCTACTACGTGGGCCAGATATTCTTACCATCCCTCTGGATCGTCATCATATCCTGGACCACTTTCTACATCAATCCGTCAGTCGAATGATTTTTCTAAATTATGTCCTCTTTCTATGTTATTTTGAAGCCCTTCATAAACAAAGTCTTTTTTTTTAAATTTAATTTACCATCTACATTACAACAGTAATGAATACTATTATAAGGCATGGAGGGTGACCCAAAGAGAATTTCATCCCATCGAGTGGGACACCTCGAGAACTTAAAGAGCAGAGACATAAAGTCTCCAGAGTGGGCATCAATTAAAGAGCAGTTTGTGTAAGAATTCATTATCAAAAATATAATTATGGAAAAAAGATTCCTGAAAACGGTTCAGTTCTGATTTATTTAATTCGAAAAAATCTTTTGGAAGTAAACTATTCTGAAAAACAAAACTATATGCTATGCTATTGCAGAATTTCATGGCGTTTGATTTAAAAGCTATATTTGTAATTTGTTTTTTAGTCTTGCTGCGGGTGTGAGGAAGCCTTTCTAGGCTCGATAAACTCAAAAAACTCTTCTTATCGGGGCATCTTAAAATTCAAATAATTCTTTGAAGAGAGACTTCAGAAACATATTAAAGACTGAATAAATTTTGTTTTCACTCATATATTGGGTTATTGGTTCAAATTTGCGTTTGAAGAATATAGCCCGCGTGATGCGTTTTTGTAGTTTTAAAATTGAATCGAGATGAGTTTTATATGTATTGCCATAAATAAGAATACCATATTGAATTACGGATTGAGCATATGCTCTGTAGAACAACAGAAGACTTGCTTTCGGAAAAACGACATTTGTAAACTATTCCACAGAAAGTTGATAACTTTTTAACAATGCCACATATATGTTGCTTAAAACTCAGTTTATTGTCAATTTTTAATCCCAAATATTTAACAGGCAATTGGTAGTTCGATTGAAAATTATCTCCAAATACATTGATCATTTCAACATTTTTACCGAAACTCATAAAAACGCTCTTTTTACAGTTGATTGTCAGGCCATTACAATCAATCCATTTTTCAATATTTTTCATTTCGTTTTCAAATTTATTTGTCCTTATTGTAGTTGAATAACATAAAGTTGTATCATCTGCATATAAAACTGGTTTAATTGTATTACAAACAATCGGAAGATCATTAATAAAGATTAGAAACAACAGAGGTCCTAAAACAGAACCCTGCGGAACGCCACATGTTAAATGTTCTATGCGAGATTCTTTTTGGTCAAAAGCAACATATTGTTTGCGATCAGTTAAATAAATCCGGATAAGTTTGTTCAGTTTACCCCTTATTCCATACTTATCTAACTTAAGAATAAGTAGCTCATGGTTTATTGTATCAAAAGCTTTTTGGAAATCGATGAAAAATGTTTCTCCGTAACGGCGTTTATCAATAACTTCTCGAATGAACTCGTTAAATTCTAATAAAGCATCAGCGCAACTTTTTTTAGGTTGAAATCCGTATTGCTCTGGTGTGAGAATTCGATATTTTCTTAGAAACTTATACATTTTGCCAAAAATGATCTTTTCAAAAACCTTGCTTATCGAATTGAGTAAACTTATTGGTCTATAGCTTTCTGGTAGTTGACAATTACCATCTTCATAAAACGGAAGCACCTTTGCAATTTTTAATGCATTCGGGTACGTTCCTTGCTTTATACATTGATTAAATAACTTTGACAAAGGTTCGCTAATAACCGTCGACGAGAGTTTCAAAATTTGATTATTTATACCATCCGGACCTGAAGACCCCTTATTTTTAATAAGAATAATTGTATCAAAAACTTCTTTTGTTGTTATTTCCTGAAAAACCATTGAATTAGGTACAGATTTAACATGCCTTAAGGCAATTTTATGATTGACTTTTTTACCACTTAATTTATTACCAATTTGTGCGAAAAACTGATTGAAGACATCAGCTTCGACTTCTATTTTGGCAGATGTTTTGCTTTGTATGAAATCGTTATATGCCTGAAAAATACTTTTATTGTTTTTCGATTTTTCGATTTTTTGTTGGTAAAATTTTAGTTTCGAATTTCTTATTGGCGATGTGGTTAAATTTCGGGACAATTTATATTTCTCTAAATTTGTCGGAGTTGGATCAATTATCCATTTTTTGTAGAACATAATTCTCTTTTGCATTTGCTTTTTAATATCCTGGGTAATCCAAGTTGGTTTTGCTTTATCATTCACCTGAGATAATGGGCAAAATTTATCTAAAATACGTGTTAAGCTATTTACAATGTAAGTTATCTGCTCATCAGCGTTTAGTGAACTTTGCTTTTTATTGAGTTTTTCATGTAGTAAGAAAAGGAAATCCGTCAGGTTTTTGTCATTTTTCAATGGATTTATGTTTGGGAAAACGCTCTGTGTTTTAATGTCATTTTTACTTTTAAAGTCATCAATTTCAAGTAAAATTGAGTAATGGTCACTGATTACAGTTTTTAAAGTATTTATTTTGTTCAAACTAGACTTGGTAAAAATATAGTCAATACAAGACAGACTTGAAGATGTAACACGTGTGGGTTCAAAGTTGCGTTGGAGAAACCCATATGAGTTCATTAATGTCAAAAAATTCTCACTAGTGATTAAAGCATCAAGTGAATCTATGTTAAAATCACCACATATTATTGTTTGGTTTTTCCAAGTAGCCACCGTATCCAGGAAAGGTTCTAGCTTTTCAAAAAAATCGTTTAGTGCAGAAGATGGTTTTCTATACAAAACAATAAAATTTTTCGAATGTTTTTCATTTTTAACAGATATAGCTAGAAACTCAAGATCTGATTCCAATTGCAATTTTGACACCTTTAAATCCGATCTAACAAAAAATGCACAACCACCTCCGCGAGTACCTTTTCTGTTAGTAGTTATTATAGGTTGGTAGCCTTTAACTGAATAAATTGATAAGGGATCATTGTCCGTTAGCCATGTCTCGCAAAGGGCTATTATTGGTGGCTTAACCTCAAAGTCGTCACTAAGAATTTTTACTTCATCATAATGACATCGCAAAGATCTAAAATTCAAGAAAAAAAGAAAACTGCTATTTAATACGCCCACTTGTCTCCCCTCTAGGAGTTCTCGATAATATAATTTACTCATTTATCAACAAAAATAAGAAACAGAAAAAATTAGGCGCTGACTTGCAAGCCACGCTCAAAAATTCTTGTATGCTTCATCAATCCCAACCCCATAGAGCATGCAAGAATGTATGAATAACTATGAACCTTCCTCGTAGGGATTTACAACATATTCTGAAAGAGTTTTTCTGTTTTTGCATAATTGCTCCAATAATTGTTCTCCTTCTTGCTCTGGGGAGTCACGTAATTGCTTCAGAATAAATTTAACATTCTCCGCCCGTTGAATATTATTTGCTCTGATTGGTGTCGTATTTCTTTCATAATCAGATACACTATAATTTTCCGTAGATTTTCCAGTTTTCGACTGAAATTTGTCAGATTTCTTAGTCGCTAAGTGTTTCATATCATCAATCGCCTTTTTCGAACTAACGGGAAAAGATTTGTAAATTCCTCTGTCGTCCATTTTAAACATTTTAACCTGACAATTCTGACTGGTATTTACAAGACCCAAATCATCAGCGTACTGTTTGAGTAGACGGTCTGCCGGTGGAAGCCTTTCCTTGAGAAAAATTTGTTTGTTATTATTCGGGTTTCGAATGTTAGCCAACCAAGATTTTCTGTTGTAGATTTCACTTTTTCCCCTAAACATAAAAATTTAACTATCACAGCTGGGGGATAATTGATATTTTTCCACGTTCCAAGCAAGTGACAGGCTTTAAAATTACTCGGGCTAGTTTTATACTGAAGAAATTGGGCCAAAAAATCGCATACCTGATGTGACAACGGTACCTGATTTTTTACTATTGGCAGGTTCTCCAAAATTAGGCAATCCTTAGAAGAATACCTTTCCTGTGCAGATACTCTTTGCTCCAAATCATCCACTTTGTTCTCAAGATCTAGAATAATCTCATCCTTTTTGCCCAGATCCGTCAATAATTTATCGAAAATCTGTCTCACATTGGTGTCGGAAATCTTTTCCAGCATCGAGGAATACATATCTTTCTCAAAACGTGATCCCATGTTAAAGGCACTCTCAGTTAAATACATAAGTTTGGAATTAGTAGTAAAGAAATTTCACACGTAAAGAAAGAATTGAGAAATTCGAAGCAAAACAATTTGTTTAAACGCAGCAAGAAAAAGCGACTATTCAGCGCTGCTCATTTCGTTTTCTGTGATTCAGCGCTGCTCAAGTCTGAACTCCAAAATGTGTTTTTTTTTTCGTGAAAACTAATTAATACCCAGGGGCGTTTCTAGAATTTTTGTTCGAAAGCATTTTCTAAAAAGATTCAAATTTTTGTCGACTTTTTTGCAACCAAGCTGATTTTCAAGGCTCTCCAAAAAAACTTGCGTTTGTCCAGCGCGCGCTCCGGCCTCAAAATGATGTATTGGCGTGCCCCACTCTTAATCAATTGTTTTTACCCAGCTTACACACAAATGACAAATATAAGGTGATTCTGAATGGTCGCAAGTTGTTTTATCTGAAGGTCGGGAATCTCCGAGATCTTAAGCTTCGAGAATCCTATAAACAAATGTCTCTTTTTGTATCATTGTTTGCGACACTTTGTCCTTTCAGAGAGGCGGTTGCAGCGCGCACTTCCATCGCCCTCACATGTGCCTTGAGCATGATGACCTTGACCACTGGGTGCATAGGGAGTCTTCCTTCCAGTCATGGCTGCACCCCTGTGGGTATCTACCTGTCCACCTGCTTCCTGTTCGTGTTCGCCGCACTAATCGAGTTTGCATTTGCCACATTCGTCCAAACACACTTAAAGGTGATATCAAAAATCAAGCGAAAGTCTTGTTCATTAAAGGGGCACCTCCATCTTTCAATTTAATGAGATGCAAGGTCCCTTAACGCGTGTCGAGAAATGGTCTTAAATTGTTTAAACGTTCAAGTATAAAGTCCCTTGTGTTTAAAATGGTAAAAACTTTCTAGACAGTATTTCATCATTGCAGCTCATTTCTATTTGCTCAATGTAACGGCTATTGCCAGGCTCGGATCTATTCATTATAAAGGCTCAGTCATTATAAAGTAAGCAAAGTGAAAAACCATTTTTCTAGAAAAATGAGTAGAAACGAAAATTAATACAAAAAAAATTTCAAAAATTTGTTCAATTTTTTTTTCAGGTTTTTGAATTTTCGAAGTTTTTGATTCCAAAAATGCGCTAAAATACTCAAAATACTTTTTTTAATCGGATAAAACTAAGTTCTAACGTTTTAAATTTAGCTATTGTTAGCTTTTAATCCATTAAAATAAGCTATTATAAGCCTGCTCGCTCGCTTTATTAGCTCGGATTAAGACGAAAAACCAAAAGTTTCAAACCGGTTTTTCTCGACACTGGGAAATTTTTTCTAAAAAGTCAGAAGAAAAACGGGCCAAAATGACGGTTTAGGGCACTCTTAGAAAAACTTAGGGCACTCTGGCATGCAGCATTTCTTTGGCATGTGCTCCCAGTTAAATCAGTCTAAATTGGCGCCAAAAATGTACCCTTAGGAATTTTTGACCAAAATAGATGTCGAAATGCTTTAAAAAAAACTTATGACAAAAAAATTGTTCTTTTTTTTGCTATACTTAATTTTAGTTCATGTAATGAAAAAAATTTTAAGAGTCGGTCGGCCCAAAATAAATAAAATCTAGTACCAAATGGTTTGATCAAAAATCGTGTCTCCCTTCAACTCAGTATGAATTAAGCTAAAGACGCCCTCGGAGATAAATACCCACGGGCGGTCAAGCTAAAAATATATGTCATAATTTAGTGGTCAGGGTTCGCATTTCTGGTACCAATGGGTCGAAATCCTAAGGATAATGTCACGCCTGTAGCATATGCGGCAAATCCTAAGGGGAATGTCACGCCCGTAGCGTATGCGGCAATCATAGCGTATAGCGCAATTGGATTGACTCAGAAAGCATTCCACATTGAAGCAATCTGATTAACCCAAAATTTGCGGTAGAATTGTGGGGAGGAGCAGATTTTGAATTGGTTGAAAGGTTTTCAGTTTTTTGCAAAATAAATTACCGGGGAAAAATAAAAATTTGAGCGTTCAAAGGGTAGCCCTGACCGTGTTTGAACATTTCCGGCAGCCAAATTTAAGCCAATTGTATAAATAGACAATTCAGCCAAAACCCGAGGCATTTTGTCTTGATCCAGTCAGACAAATTAAAATTTAGAGGTCCAAGCTGATCAAAAATTCGCGCTTTTAAACTAGATTGTTTAATGAGTATTAGTTTTTAACCAATGAAAAACTATTTTTCGTTTTTACAAGGTACACTTTGCGTTTAACAAGCCTAAGCATTGTTGATTGATCCCCTATAAATTCTAGATTCTCATTGCGAGTACAAAAGATTAGCTTCATTCACAAATATCATTAACACGTTGATCTAATGTGAAGTGTGTCAATCCCCACGTGGAAAATATACAGCGCTGATTTAAATTAACTGGACAAAACGAGCTAAACTTGAAAATTAAAACGCGTTTTTCTCAAACTGGGTTGAGTTTATGTGAACATTTATGAAGACAAAACTTGCTTAAAATTTTAACAGAATTAATATGGTTTAATTTGTTTTGCGAAATTCGGGCTCAAAAAATTTTACCCCAAAAATGGGTCATTTTGGCTTTTCTTAGTTAATCAAAAATAACGCCAAAAATACCCAGTCGATCACAGACATATTTATATCAAAGTGAGCTCCCTACATAGCCCAACAAACTTTAAGAAATGTATAATCTCCAAAAAATTGTATAAGTTAATTTAATTTTGTTTGATAGACAAAAAAGGTCGTTTTTACTATAAAAAACACCAACTACTTATTTAAAAACAAATTTTAAACGATTTACAAATTTTTTTGGAGAACATACCCTTCTTAACGTTTATTGGGCTATATAAAGGGCTCACTTTGATATAATTATGTCTATGATCGACTGGATATTTTTGGTGTAGTTTTTGATTAACTAAGAAAAGCCAAAATGACCCATTTTTGGGGTAAAATTTTGGGCCCGAATTTCGCAAAACAAATTACACCATACTAATTCTGCTAAAATTTAAAGCAACTTTCGTCTTCATAAATTTTGACATAATCTCAAATTGGGTTGAGTTTATGTAAAAATTTATGAAGACAAAACTTGCTTTAAATTTTAGCAGAATTAAAATGGTGTAATTTGTTTTGCGAAATTCGGGCCCAAAATTTTACCCCAAAAATGGGTAATTTTGGCTTTTCTTAGTTAATCAAAAACTACACCAAAAATATCCAGTCGATCACAGACATAATTATATCAAGGTGAGCCCCTTATATAGCCCAACAAACGTTAAGAAGGGTTTGTTCTCCAAAAATTTTGTAAATCGTTTAAAAAGTGTTTTTAAATAAGTAGTTGGCGTTTTTTATAGTAAAAACGACCTATTTTGTCTATCAAACAAAATTAAATTAACTTATACAATTTTTTGGAGATTATTCATTCGTTAAAGTTTGTTGGGCTATGTAAGGAGCTCACTTTGATATAAATATTTCTGTGATCGACTGGGTATTTTTGGCGCTACTTTTGATTAACTAAGAAAAGCCAAAATGACCCGTTTTTGGGGTAAAATTTTTTTAGCCCGAATTTCGCAAAACAAATTAAACCATATTAATTCTGTTAAATTTTTAAGCAAGTTTTGTCTTGCTTTAAATGTTCACATAAACTCAACCCAGTTTGAGAAAAACGCGTTTTAAATTTCAAGTTTAACGCGTTTTGTCCGGTTAATTTAAATTAGCACTGTATCTCTTCACACATGATTTTTGATGACGAGAAAAAAAACATTGAAACAAGGCCGCATTGTTTGGCAATGAATTGGAAAGCTTAGAAGAGCAAATAATTGCTTGTTAGTTCCCCGGGTTTTCTCGGAAAATGTTTGTTTGCGTACAAAATTCGATTTGCGCTTGAAAAAAAAACAAAAAAAAAATTTTTGGGGCAAATTTTCAAAATTACTTAAAAAAATTTTTGTGTCGTATATGGAAATTGTATGGTATGCATTTTTTTTCAAAAAAAAATTAAAATCAGTTTTTTTTGTCACCAGTCTGTTCAACTGTTCTCAAAAAGCCGCAGAAATGGTTGATTTTTTTTCTATTGTTTTTCGAAAATGTATGAAAATTGTATGACAAGCATTTTCCCCATACACTTGATGTATGGAATTGTATGATAATGATTTTTGTTGTATGGAATTGTATGATAAGCATTTTCGGTGTATGGAGGTCAACCCGGGTTACTGTTTGTTGTCTGCCAAGCCCATTCATTTTCTTCAATTTAATCTTTTTGACGAACGTCTCCGGCTAAAACGTCTCAATAAATTTGACTGAAGATAAAATGTCTTTGACCGGGCACCTCGCCCCCATACGCCTAACACCCCCCCCCCCCTCCTCCTCCTCCCATACGCGTAGCCGTGTCATTTTATAATTCTAAAAGTTTTTGATTTCAGCACAAAGCAGTCAAAAACATCAGGAAACAATCACGGCCTGATTTCAATCGGAGCCATCAATCTCTGAAAGAAGACATGAAACTGCAAACTTTAACCCGCCGATCTGTTCTGTTCGATTCAAACTTACGGTCAACTCAAACTCGAGATGCAGTTCAGGTTCAAATTCCACAAATCAACAGCAACTCATGCTGGCACTTAATGGGATCAAACCCTGTTAAAATTGATGTTTACAGTCGCTTTTTGTACCCGCTTGCTTTCATTCTGTTCAACGTAGTTTTCTGGATTTTGACAATGAACTCGACCAAACAATATAACAAGGAGGTCGCACATTTAGTCGCGGAAGTTCAAAATGATCTTTAAATATTCAGTTTGTAGACTTAATTTTGTCTATTTTGTTTTATAAATCATAATTGATAGTTTTGTGAATAAATCTAATTTAACAGTTCGTTTGATAACTGTTCTAAACACATATAAGCTCACAGATATGTCTTCCAAGTTATGTTTTCCAATTTTTTGCCAGCCCAAATTTTTTGAAATGATCTACAACTGTGAGATTTTTTTCTACAACCAAGATCTCATCTACATCAGGATATCTTTTCCAATTTTCCCGTTCTGAAATTTTTGAGAAGAATGAATATATATCTTAAGTGCTTTCAGTCCTAAACACCCTCCTAATCTCCCAATATTCTTCAAACTTAAATTCTAGTTTTACATTTGAACATTGGTAACTTTTTTCAAATATATCAATTCAAATTAATAGGTTTGGAACAGCGAGCAAAAGTTTTTAGCCATTCATATAACTTGGACGGCATTTTGAAAAGGGCCATTTAGTTTTTGCCTTCCGGATAAAGACATTCATTTTGGATCTGACGCGACTGAACGTCCCATGGGTGTGAATGCACCCCTGCCCCCATCCAGCATGCGGGCGAATTCCCTGTAGTCTATCAATCCATCCTTATTGGTGTCAGCTGCTAATAGCATTTCATTTACCTCTGCCTCCTCCATCTTGTTTCCTCTCGAGGTCATTATGGCCTTGAACTCTTCTGCACTGATGGTGCCGTTGTTGTCGATGTCGAACACCTGCAACGAAACTTTCATTCGAATGTTAAACTTAATTATCTCTGTGAATAAAAAGGAGTGTCTAAAAAAGAAAGATGGCGATGATCATGTTCTATCATTTTCAGCGCTGCTTTTTAAATAGTTGAAAAACGCGAAAAAGGAATGTGAAGAAAAAATTTATTATGACAAAGAAAAAGCAAAGTTTCAGCTCGAAAAAAGTTATGGCTTTTCAGAACACAATTTTTACTATTGGCGGAGGGTGCAAAATTTTTCTATAAGCACCTGACTTTAAAGATGAAATAGGAAATATATGCACTTTTCTTACTTCATGTTGATATACACGTACAACAGGCGTATTATTTCGAGCTTTGCATTAATATTCACGTTGACGAGACGTTTTTTTTGTAATGAGGTGACCTTGAATGCCTGAACGATTTCTTCTTCTGAGGCTTCGTCCTGTAGTTTGTTGGCCACACATGTGAGGAACTCAGTGAAGTCCACTCTCCCGTTCTCGTCCATGTCCATGTCCTGCAGTGCCATCTGGGCCTCCGACTCTGTCAACGGACTCCCGAGCACCTCCAGGGCCTTGTAGAACTCCTTCTGCCTAATATGAGTTGAGTGCAATATTAAGTCACGTTGGAAGCAATCAATTTTTAATGAAATACAAAACTATAAAAAATCAAGAAAAAAAATTAAAACTAAACCATTTTTGCATTGAAAAGCTAAATTAAAGAAGTTTCGGATTTTTTTGCTTGTAAAATTGCGCCGGAAAAAGGGTGTACCTTATTTTTTTCTGAGCGGTTATAATACCGAGATTTACATTAGCCGATTTGTTTTAAAATACCACGACCCAGATTTAACAAAAAAAGCTTAAATACTCCATCACACGAAATGGAAGTGATATACCATAATACACATCAATCCGGGTTGACCACCATTCAGAAAAATGCTTCTCATACAAATCAATACAAAAACTTATCATACAATTCCATGCGTAGCTTCTATGGTTTTATAGAAACAAGGCTTTTTCGTTTTATAAATATCGTTTAATCAACTTAAATCCGTTTTTTATCGGGTGAAAGCAAATTGATCATCAAAATTATGATTTCTTTAAGCAAACAAAAAAGAAAAATGCTTATCATACGATTGCAATTTATGAAAAAATTACGATAACATTTTTTTTCGGAAATCTTCACAAGCAGTTTTCATAATTAATTTAGAAAAATAATAAATTTGTTTTCACATTAGATTAAAAAAATTTAGGCAACTTAAAACAAGTTTTTTACAGAATGATGTTTCATTGGTTGTTGAAAAAAAAACAAGATTTTGTTTTTAAACAAAGAAGCTTTACATTCATTTTCTATTCATTTAAATCCACCATGTAAATGCGAAGATTTGGGTTTTTAAGTGCCATCGCCTGGGTAACTTTAGACGAGTTCTTCTCAAGTTCATTTTTGTCGAACCGGTAGAAGTTAGTTTATATTTTTATTTTATATACAAATGTCTTTTCATGCATGCTATGCACGTTTGTACTTCGAGCTGAACTAGAGTGTAATTTGAATTTGCAGACCTGGACTAGGGAAAACCTTCTTTTTCCTTAATTGCCAAGTCAATTATACTTTGAGGCAGTCCTACATCAGTTATTTCATGCTGTCTCAAAATTAGGGATAGAAACATACAACAAACGCAGTAACATAGGTTCATTTTTTAAAAAAATTTTACCATCTGATGAGAGACTGATCTTTTGGGCTGAACTAAGAATAAGAATTGGCGTTTTTTCTTGTTCCGATTTTCGTAAGGAAAGTAACGGAATATTTGTGCTCGGGGTGGGTTTTTTCTTCAGACAAAATTCGACTTTTTAACTAGCCATTTTTGACGAAATTTGCTTAATATTATTCGAACGGTATTGTGGTCCTGAGTTTGAATTTAAAAAGATTTAAAAAATAATCACCTGTGATTATTTTCTGGAAATAAATCGGGGTTTAAGCATTGCCAATTTGGCCAATTTGTGTCAATTAACGTGCGATATATTTCGCGCTATTAACGCGTAAGCGGAGATATAATCCGTCTTAGAAAACGTTCCAAATTGGTTGAAGGAAGCTTAATTTTCATAATTTATGTGTTGCTAGGAGCAAGATACATTACTTTAAACTTGTGGAAAGCGCTAATTCGATACTTGAATTAAGATGTAAAGAAAGAAACAACTGTTTAAAATATAGATCAAACGAGACAATGTTTTAGGTGAAAATCGAAGGTGTCAAACAATCCGAAGGCCAACCACCCACCACAGATGTCTATCAATGAAATGAAATGAAAAAATGAGTGACAAAAGGAACTATCAAGAACTAAATAGACATGGATACTGATTTAGCACTATGACATACCCTCCTTTAAAAAGTAAATAAACTGCACTGGTATTGATTTTGTTAAATTTAAGTACTAGATGAAAAGTTTTTAAACAAAAAGATTAGCTCGGTCCCGCCGATTCTAGCTCACGTTTCTACACTAAGCTTAAGGCATTGATAACATACTAAGTTTTTCAATAACTATAGCTGCGTTTTTAGTTCATCTTCTTAAGTTTTATACGTCAGTCCGCTCCGTTTACTCATTTCCTTTGTTCTGAATTCCGCCTCATGATATATGGTCAATCATGACCCCGCCCATTTTCGTCACCGCCGTTCTCTTCCTGCTGTTTTTCCTAGACCCCGTATCACTTCCCGAATCTTGGCTCGAATATGATACTAGCCTTTGTTTCTTCGCTCGCTTTTTCTTTTCGCACGCCGTCGGTACCGGTTGCGGATCAGCCTTCAATACGTCGTCTTCTTTGCCGACTATCGCTCCTGTCCCCGTCATTTTTCTAGATTTTCCGCTCTCCTTCCTCGTCGCCGTCGTACTTGTTTCTGCTTCCTGTTCAACCGCCGTTCGCTCCTAATTCGCTCGCTCCGTATCTTCTCGTCCTCCGCTAGTTTCTGCCTGTAAATCAGGTAACGATGCCAATGGCAGTTTACCTCCGATTCTCCTCGTAGCCAGTGGTTAGCTATCGCTGTCAGACTCTGACTCCTCGTATCAAACTCGTTCGCCTGTGGTTCTTGCTCCGCCTAGTTTCGCTGTTGCGCTTGATTTCTTCCGCTTTTTCGATTCCGAAATCGCCATTTCTTTTTGTAGATCCGCCGGCGTTGGTGGCTTCGGTAGCCCTGAACTTCGCTTTTCGGAGTATTGGCTTTCCGTACTGCGACCCCGAATTTCCTAAGCAAGGTTCCATTATTCATTTTAAGTGTATGCGTAGTTTCCGCAACACTTTTCGTATTCAATTTTCTATACCTGCTTAAATTCCGGTCTCCAGTGCGCTGGAATACTGTGCGGGATGGTCTTGCTTCGTCGTCCGGTCCTTGAAAAGATGTCGCCGTCGGCTCATCTGTCTGACTTAGTGACTGCGGTGTCGATAAGATCAGTGGGTGATTTCTTCTTGCGTCCCCCCATACTCATTGTCTGATCTCATGCCCCAATTGGTGTCAGTCGGCTTCAGCATTTGTTAAGCTTCGGCATCTTTTCGTCTAAACATGCAGATTTAGATTATAGAACTTTCGACCAATTCAAGTTTCTCCCCCAGGCAAAAGTATAAGTTCGAAATTAAGGCTGTTCCGACGCTATCCTTTTTTTCCATCTACTTCTTTCGGCAGCTTCGCGATCTGCGTGACGTCCAGTGTATCTGCGAAGCTATAAATCTTTGGATTTATTGAGTGCTTTGCAACCATTCCCCACTGGAAGCAATTTAACCAAAATAACCAGAGCATGGGGGGTTCTGCACTTTTCGCCGGCCAAAAGGATACTATTCCAAGTGGGTTTTCCCCCACTTGGGCCTGTTGACTGCGCCATGTGGAAAACGCTAGTTCGATACTTGAATATAGATGTAAACAAAGAAACAATTGTTTAATTTATAGATCAAACGAGACATTGTTTAGGTGAAATCCGAAGGTTTCAAACAATCCGAAGGCCAACCACCTGCCAAAGATGTCTATCAATGAGATGAAATGAAATGATTGACAAAAGGAACTATCAAGGACTAAATAGACTTGGATAACCGATTTAGCACTATGACACCCAGAATCGCCACAATTGATGTGTTGCTAGGAGCAAGATCTATTACTTTAAACTTTATATGGCGTGTGGGGGGATGTTTTTGGCAAAAAATCTCAAATTTTTTTAAAAAAAATTTAGTTTTATTTTATTACACTTAATTTTTTCACGCTTTTACTTTTCCATAGACCTAAAAATATAATCGGATCATTCAGGGCTTCGCCCTGATACGAGCAGCCTTGTTTTTTTTTGTTTTCCACAATTAGAAATTCGATAAACGTTTTAATGCAGTTTTTGCCAGCTGTAATTTTATTCATACCACTCTATTGCTTGAAGTGTTTATCATGCAACTCGACGCTTCCATCGAATGGAAAAATTAGTTATCATACGATTCCATTGAAAGGAAAAAATCTAGTGAGTCACACAACTCTTTTTAAGGAAAAATGCTGGTCATGCTCATTTCAAACTATTTTTACTGTGGAATTGTATGGATCTGTATGATAAGCTTTTTTCCTTTCTATTGATTTGTATGACAAGAATTTTCGTCATCTCGGGAACACTGGTTTTTGAAAATGTAATATTTACTATCTTTCTCAGTTCTCCTACTTTTTATTTCTTCCCATTTTCTCTAAAAGTTTAATTTTTAACAATGTTTCCTAGGGCATTGACGCTGAAAAATTGTTGGTAACGTTCTGTCTCAATGTAACTACACTCACGTGATAACTCCGTCTCCATCTGAGTCGAATATGGAGAATGCCTCTTTGATCTCCAGAATCTGTTCCTCCGACAAATCCTCGCCCCCCTCGAATTGGGTGATTGTGGAGTTCTTCCGGGGACTGCTTCTACCCCCTCCCCCGGTAGAATTGCTGTTGCGATGTTCTGCCGTAGCCATTTTAAAACTTTGAGCAAGATAAAAAATTGTCTAGAAATAAATATCTATTAATTGTGTCAAGTGAAAAACTATAGGTTTTGAATTAGGTCCGAATTGATGTTCTAAATAATATCGAGTGTCTCGAGTTTATTTGAATTGCGAAACTTAATGAAGCAGCAATTAAGCTTTCTTTTAATATTGGTTTTTATGAGTGAAACCGTAAACTATTTCAGTTATTGGTAGTCTAAAATGCCATCTGAAGAAATTTGTAACAAGTAGATCATATTGCAACAAAAAATTAATTTAATGTACCTATGCCAACAAGATCTTCAAAAAAAGTTCAAATAAAGCACTTTTTTCAAGCTTTCATAGGTAATTTATGCAAAATTGATGGCGTTTCAAAACTGGAAAAGGAAGACTCTTTTGTTCGTGTGTCCCACGCTTGAAATACCTTTTCAGGTGTTTTTTATTTGACATTCAGTATCTGACTTGGAAAAACATAACAGCCGCTTTTTTCACAAATACTCAGAAGCACACATGTTTTTATTACTTTTCCGCTTTCATTATCGGCCATAGAACGCTTTTAACGTGAAATTGTTTTGGCACCACTTCGGCTTCAATGTGTTTGCGGAAAACCATTTTAAAATAATAATTATAGAAACTGCTACAAACTCCTGAGCCTTTTAATGTGTTTTTCTGATTGTTTAAAAAGAGTGCGATATGGAAAATTCAAAATGAAAGATAAAATATAAAATTAAGATTTTGATTCTAAAAACGCTCTAACACTTTGGCGATCAAAATTTCATCATCATGGTAATCAAAAGTTGATGGTTATTCGTAGCAACTGTTACAACGAAGCTACACAGCTCATAATTTTAAGTAGTATTTTGGCAGAAATTCCAGAAGTGATTGACGTTGAGTTAACGAAATTCGATAGAAAGAAGAGACATAAACATAACAGCGCACTCGAAATTTGATAAGTATGAAATTCTCAGGAGGGGTTTGAATCTCTTTTCTGTGTTCTGATACACACTTTTACTGGTCAAGCAAAGTAACATGGAAAAGTAGGCTTAAAAAAACTGCATTGCCATGTCATGGAAAACCTATCAGATTTATGGAATCGAAAATTAATGTTTTCTAATTATTCCGACTTTTTTTAACGAAAGTAACGAATATTTTTGCTCGAGGTCGTTTTTTTCTTCAGACAAATTTCGACTTTTTAACTGGCAATTTTTGTTAAAATTTTTATACATCAACCAAAAGGTATTGTTGTCCTGGGCTTTAATTTGAAAAACTATTTCCCTTGTGATAATTTTTCGTAAAGTTATGGGGGTTTACAGATTGCCATTTTAGGACAATTATAGCGCGATTTAATTCGCTCTATTAACGTGTAAGCGGAGTTTTAATCCGTCTTAGAAACCGTCCTAAATTGGTTGCAGGAAGATAATTTACCATAATTGGTTTATAACAAGGAGCAAAATCTATCACTTTGTATTTTATATGGCATGTGGCGGGGGGGGAGGGAAGGGGGGGGGGGGTGATTTTCACAGAAAAACACGAATTAAAAAAATAAATTAATTTTTTTACCTTTAGTTTTATTATGTTATTACTGCTCCATAGACCTTAAAAGGCAGTCGGAACATTCAAAGCTTCGCCCTGATACGAGCAGTCTGGTTATTTTTGAATTGATATTGTAGTTGTATGCATATTTGTTTTTAGACCTAGCAACTTTTTCTTATGTATTTTTCAGAGTTTGGCATGGAAAAACAAGGAAAGCCGGGTGCTGTCAGACCAAATAATTTTTTTTAAAACACATAAAAAAGTTTTGTTTCATAAAGTTTTGTTTTAAATTAGCGTTGTTTTTTGTGCATGATGGATAGATCTGACAAAAACCTGAAATTTAGGTATATTTAACAGTCACAGAAGTAAAACAGGCTAATTGGTCAACATTTTGTTGTCAAAAAAGGACCAGAAAAAACTACAAGAACAAATACTTAAAAAAACTCAAAGAAACATTTTTCAATTTTTTCTGCAGAAATTGCTGTGAGCTTTTGTTGCAAAAAGTTTTTTTTTATTGCGGTAAAATTTTGAAAAAACAATCTTGTTAAAGTTTCGAGGCTTATCTTTTTTAAATAATTCCGATGATCAACTGTGAATTTTTTTTGGATGAAAACGAACTAAGCCTGCTCGCTGATCTTAACTCGGACAAAACCAAAAAGTTCAAACCGGTTTTTCTCGACACTGCGACTTTTTTGGATTTTTTTTAATGTGGTTCGAATCACGACTAAAAGGGCTTTAATATGACATATCACTCAACCCATTCCGATGATTACTTGTGGTACCTAATTGTGTGTGGAAAACAAAAAAAAAAGAAAAAGAAAGAAGTAAAAGACAACCGAATACAAAAATCCTCCCATGGTAAATACTTATCCATTTACAAATTCCGGCTCTCTTTACCAAATTTAAATAGAAAAAAATTTTCTGAAGGTTTAGATTTTTTTCAAACGGGGTTGATCAACAAGATCCAAAAACTATTTGTTTGGGTATGTTTTTCATACTACCAAATCATTTTCGCTTTGAAATACTCAAAATAATTCATCGCCCTTGAAATTTACTCTCTTGAACCCTGATGTAGTCATTAAACCTAGATAGTGAATTACTGAAATTTTGTTATATTGCGAATGAAATCTGTTTTTGAATAAAAGATGGTCGCAGCAGTGAGAACTTAAATCAGAAATTGTCAGAGGAAAAATTTCTTCTCTCAATGCATAGCCTAGTTGAAGTCATACCGTAAATTAGATTTAAGATGAAAGTATCCGTTATATTATCAGTACTATAACGTATACTTCAGTACTATGAAAATTAAGCCACTTTGATAGGATAAACAAAAACAACTTTGCAAATTTTGATCGGATTGCAAAAAAAAACAAGCTCAATTCAAATAATGCTTCATCATTTACAAAGTCTAGCTGTCGTACCTATTTTTACATGGGAAAAGTCTCAGAATGTTTCGATTCTTCCCCAAACCGTAATTGAAACACATTATCCAAAATTTTTTTTTTAATTTGCAAATTCTGATCCGATACCAAAAAACAGACTTTAGTGATTGATTACTTAAACATTTAAAAAGTCTAGCTGTCGTACCCAATTTTACATGGAAAACATATTTCTGTAGGTTAAGATTCTTCACTAAGTGTACAAACACCTAATCCTAAAATTTGTTGGTATTTTTTTTAAATTGCAAAACTTGATCATATTACAAAAAACAACAGAATAAAATGATTAAATACTTATCCATTTATAAACTCCGACTCTCGTTACCAAATTTAAATAGAAAAAATTTTTTTGAAGGTTTAGATTTTTCTCAAACCGGGGTTGATCAACAAGATCCAAAAACTATTTATTTTGGTATGTTTTTCATACCACTAAATCATTTTCGCTTTGAAATACTCAAAATATTTAATCGCCCTTGAAAATTACTCTCTTGAACCCTGATGTAGTCATTAAACCTAGATAGTCAATTACTGAAATTTTGTTATATTGCGAATGAAATCTGTTTTTGAATAAAAGATGGTCGCAGCAGTGAGAACTTAAATCCGAAATTGTCAGAGGAAAAATTTCTTCTCTCAATGCATAGCCTAGTTGAAGTCATACCGTAAATTAGATTTAAGATGAAAGTATCCGTTATATTATCAGTACTATAACGTATACTTCAGTACTATGAAAATTAAGCCACTTTGATAGGATAAACAAAAACAACTTTGCAAATTTTGATCGGATTGCAAAAAAAAAACAAGCTCAATTCAAATAATGCTTCATCATTTACAAAGTCAAGCTGTCGTACCTATTTTTACATGGGAAAAGTCTCAGAATGTTTCGATTCTTCCCCAAACCGTAATTGAAACACATTATCCAAAATTTATTTTTTTAATTTGCAAATTCTGATCCGATACCAAAAAACAGACTTTAGTGATTGATTAATTAAACATTTAAAAAGTCTAGCTGTCATACCCAATTTTACATGGAAAACATATTTCTGTGGATTAATTTTCGTCACAAACCGTACAAACACTTCAACCTAAAATTTTTTGGTATTTTTTTAAATTGCAAATTTTGATTATATTACAAAAAACAACAGAATAAAATGATTAAATACTTATCCATTTATAAACTCCGGCTCTCGTTACCAAATTTAAATAGAAAAAACTTCTTTGAAGGTTTAGATTTTTCTCAAACCGGGGTTGATCAACAAGATCCAAAAACTATTTATTTGGGTATGTTTTTCATACCACTAAATCATTTTCGCTTCATGTTCGACTCCTCTCTCTCCTGCTATAAACAACAAGAAAAAAAAAGAAAAAAAAACAGAAATATTTACAAAGCCAATCATTTTATTTGTGAAACTTTCGTTGAACAAAACTTCGAAACCCCGAGTCATCTTTATTAACAACTTATATGTCCAGTGTTGGTAAATACTGCGTTTTTGTTCGAATGCGGATTAAATCTGTTTTGCTATGTTTAATTTAAAAAGTATGATCGCATGAGTCAAAGAAAGATTGAAACATTTCAGAGGAAACGCCTGATATCAACATTTGCAAATCAATATCATTATTTGCAGAAAACGGTTCATAAAAATTTGAAATAAGCACTAATCTGATGATAAAATCACAAGAAATTGAACTGCTTGCCTAAATTTCATGATTGAATAAGTGATTAAAGGTATTCTGTGTCAAAACTTCAACTAGAAAGAGTCGAACCAATTTTGAACCCAATAAGCAATCCATACACGTTGGTTGTACCTTGAAATTCAGTTAACCTTAAAGTTTTGTTTTAAATTAGCGTTGTTTTTTGTGCATGATGAAAAGATCTGACAAAAACCTGAAATTTAGGTATATTTAACAGTCACAAAAGTAAAATAGGCAAATCGGTCAACATTTTGTTGCCAAAAAAGGACCCGAAAAAACTACAAGAACAAATAAGAAAAAAACTCAAAGAAACATTTTTCAATTTTTTCTGCAGAAATTGCTGTGAGCTTTTGTTGCAAAAAGTTTTTTTTTATTGCGGTAAAATTTTGAAAAAACAATCTTGTTAAAGTTTCGAGGCTTATCTTTTTTAAATAGTTCCGATGATCAACTGTGAATTTTTTTTTGGATGAAAACGAACTCAGCCTGCTCGCTTACCTTAACTCGGACAAAACCAAAAAGTTCAAACCGGTTTTTCTCGACACTGCGACTTTTTTGGATTTTTTTAAATGTGGTTCGAATCACGACTAAAAGGGTTTTAATATGACATATCACTCAACCCATTCCGATGATTACTTGTGGTACCTGATTGTGTGTGGAAAACAAAAAAAAAGAAAAAGAAAGAAGTAAAAGACAACCGAATACAAAACTCCTCCCCATTTTTCAATTGGCTGGAACAATTACGAGAATCCTACTAGAGTGCTATTTCAAATTACTCGGCGATAGCGAATAGAACCTTGAAACCTAAAATGCTTTTTCTTCTGAATTTGTTTGTTGGTAGACAAAAAGTGATCAGAA